TATGGTTCAGAGCCCCCTGCGGGGGCTCAACCTTTATAGTACTAGCTTAAAAAAATTTCACCGCAGGATGGTGGTGTAACCGGTACTACATGTAGTATTTACCTGGGCAGTCTTGCTGCCAGAGCCCTCAACCCCTTTAATTTGGTCTCCCAGACCACACTCCTTTTGGTTTCCCCCTCAGTTGCACTCCCAAATCGATTTGCCGGCGTTTACTGTGTAAATTAGAGTACCGGCACTTCAGTTGCAGAATCAACGGTCATGTGTATCCGTAAGTACCAAACCTGTACTTAACGTGTTTTAACGTCTGTACACGTTTCGTGGATAAAAAGAACCGTTGAAGTTACTAAGGTTAAGGCTAAACTGAATTACAGAGGATTCGATTCGATTCCATCCAATCGTCCATCAAGTCTTTTTTGAAGGCACAGCGCTGACTTCTCTCCCTCATTGAATTGCCATGGCAAACAGGAGAGAATTCCGAGCTCGGCCGTCAACAGGTGAGTTGTTTTAATTATTCGAAACGATCGATCGCACCTCTATTATCTGTTATCCAAGCCTCACTCAAGCCGACCGTCTCCGGTGCAGAAGTGAAAGCCATCCCTCATTGAATCCTATGGACCATGGGATGGCAGTCAGTTCTCGGCCCATGACGGCCAAATTGGTGCAATTTGAAAAACAATGGTAAGTCTCCGGTCGTCTGCAGTTGAGCACAGAAAACAAAACTCATATCTATTTGTTGTTTTCTGTGCTGTACTGCTGACGGCCGATGAATTACCATTGTCGAGGTCGAACGAACGATCGGTCGCTCCGGAGAACACGAGGAAGAAGAGACTACCGCTACGGAGGTATGTGTACCGAGGAAACTGTTAACTCCAGCCCTACCAACAGCATGAACGGATCGTCGTCGACTCATTGAAAGGGAACAGGAGCAAGGCTAGCTACTCGACAACACACAAGAGAGTGGATCCTCCTACCGGATTCATCCCTTCTTGTTATTTCCTACTGTTTTGGTGGTGATTCCTGTGCCGGTGCCCATTTTCCTGTATGCGCAAGTCAAGTACTGTTGCCACTAGCTATACGGCTATACGGCAGCTGGCTAGAATGGTGGTGGTGATTCCTGTGTCGGTGCCCATTTTCCTGTATGCGCAAGTCAAGTATTGTTGCCACTAGCTATACGGCTATACGGCAGCTGGCTAGAATGGCTGGATTGACAATATTCGGTTGTGCATGTATTCGTCATAAAGATCCAATGCGAGGTAACCGAGTGCAGCGAGCAAAAGTCGAACCTGAGTGTGTTCGGTACTGTTGCCACTGTCACCGATCGATGAACTCTACGATAGCTGGCTACAATGGCTGGATTGACAATCTTCGGTTGTGCATGTATTCGTCATAAGGATCCAATGCAAGGTACCGGTAACGGAGTGTAGCCAGTAAAACGGAACCTGAGTGTGTTCGGTACTATTGCCACTGTCACCGATTGATGTAACTCTACGGTAACTGGCTACAATGGCTGGATTAACAATCTTCGGTTCTGCATGTATTCGTCATAAGGATCCAATGCGAGGTACCGGTAACCGTAGCGAGCAAAGCCGAACTTTCGGTACTGTTGCCACTGCCGTCGATGTAGTTATACCGCAGCCGGCTATAATGGGTGGATTCATAATGTTCGGTTGTTCATGTAGTCTATCGTCATAAGGATCCAATGCAAGATACCGGCAACGGAGTGTAGCCTGCAAAGCGGAACCTGAGTGTGTTCGGTACTGTTGACACTGTCACCGATTGATGTAACTCTACGGTAGCCGACTACAATGGCTGGATTAACAATAGTCGGTTTTGTGCATGTATTCGTCATAAGAATCCAATTCGAGGTAACCGAGTGCAGCGAGCAAAGCGGAACCTGAGTGTGTTCGGTACTGTTGCCACCGTCACTGATCGATGAACTCTACTGTAACTGGCTACGATGGCTGGATTGACAATCTTCGGTTGTGCATGTATTCGTCATAAGAATCCAATGCAAGGTACCGGTAACGGAGTGCAGCGAGCAAAAGTCGAACCTGAGTGTGTTCGGTACTGTGCCACTGTCACGGATTGATGTAACTCTCTGCCTATGGTATAGGTACCGTAGCTGGCTATACAATGGCTGGATCCAAGTAGCGAGCAAACTGAGGAAACAGGAGACCAACGCTGAAAAAAAGCCGAATTGTTTTTCCTGCTATGGTGGTCCCTGCAGGTATAAGGGTAGGGTTAGAATACAAATAAGTCAGCAAAAACTAAATAAGTATCCTAGGATGGTGCTTTTAAACCAGCTAAAGCTATTTACATGCATCCTACTAGTAGGGGGATTTGCTTCTACCAGGAAAAACTTTAAAGCTAGCGAAGCTATATAACTAGTATTCTAGCTAGCTAGAGGTATCTGCTTCTAGCTTGCTATGGGAATCTGCTTCAAGCTAGGGGGATCTGCTTCTAGCTAGCTAAGCGCAAGTTAAGCACTAGCTAAGCACTACAGGACCGTCCGACGGTTTTTGCTCAGGTTCAAAAACTGCTCAAATTGTGGTTCTGGTTAAGGGAATGTTAAGGGAATGTTGAAGCTTTAAGGGAATGTTAAGGGAATGTTGAGGATTTAAGAGAATGTTTTAAGGGAATGTCTATTTAAGGGAATGTTCATTTTTTTTAGGGAATGTTCTATGGGGTTTACATGAAGGCTTAGAGGAATGTTTCGAAGCGTTAAGGGAATGTTGTTAAGGGAATGTTGATTTAAGGGAATGTTAAGGGAATGTTAAGGATTTAAGGGAATGTTTTAAGGGAATGTTTAAGGGAATGTTTCAACTGCAAAATTTTGAGTTTTTTTTAAACCTGAGCGAAAACCGTCGGACGGTCCAGGTATCTGCTTCTACCTAGCTAGCTAGATATGGGTATCTGCTGCTACATGTACACTGAAACCTTTCTGCCGAGGTTACACAGCTCCGCTGGCTTAATAATCTCGAATGAAGAGTGAAAAGGTACAGTCGTACAGTGTAGTTCCCTCGCAGGAGCGTCCCTCAATCGTGGGTGAGTTTAAAATACGACCAAATCCGACCCTAAATCTTTGAAAACCGACCCTAATTCCATGTAGCAATAGGGTCGGTTTTGAAACCCGCCCCTAAATCGAAACCCGTCCCTAAATTAGGGACGTTTTTTCAGAATCCGTCCCTAATTTTAGGATCGGTTTCGAAACCCGACCCTATTTTAGGGTCGGATTTCAATGTATTTACCACTCAGTCCCGCTTCCATTTAGGGACGGTTTTCAAACCCGCCCCTTAATCGAAACCCGTCCCTAAATTAGGGACGTTTTTTCAGAATCCGTCCCTAATTTTAGGGTCGGTTTCGAAACCCGACCCTAAAGGGGAATCCGTCCCTAAATCCGACCCAAAATTAGGGTCGGTTTTCGATATAAGTCATGCACGATTGAGGAACGCTCCAGTTATTTGATATGTCTTTAAAAGAGTACTAAAGCTTTAACAAGCCTTCGTTAGAAATTACAGCCCCAAATTTGAACGACAGGGGGTAGAGAGCACTACATACAGCCTGTGCATATGAACAGGGAGGATGCCTGCAGATTGAGAGCAAGGCTAGCCATTTTTTTTTGCCTGAATTCAAAAACGTCCAATTTCCTGTGCAATCGAACAGGATAGCGACACCTGTTCAATTGCACAGGAAATGGACGGCCTGTGCAATCGAACAGGATGGCGACGCCTGTTCAATTGCACAGGAAATGGACGGCATGTGCAATCGAACAGGATGGCGACGCCTGTTCAATTGCACAGGAAATGGACGGCCTGCCTGTTCATATGTACAGGAGGCTGTACATACATATCAGGGTGTGGTACTCACACTGGTTTAGCATGTGAGTATAGGTACTGAGTAGTACTCAGAATCCTGGAAGTGAGTGAGTACGGGTATTAGGTAGTACTCAGAATTTCTGAGGTCAAGTGGGTACAGGTACTATGTGAGTCCAGGTATTTTTTGGGTACTACGGTATACTCACTGAGTACTCATATACCAATTACTTAGAGAATTTATCTTTGCAATTGGGCCCAAAGTGAGAAAATAATGATCTTTTTGCTGTTTCGCGGTGAGAAAGTACCCACCGAGTACTCACAAAGTACCTATTCAGTACTCATGGTACTCGGTGAGTACTGATCGAAAGTACTCATCGAGTACCCACCGAAGACTCACAAAGTACTCGGAATCTAGAGGTGAGTACGGGTACTGAGTAGTACTCAGAATTTCGGAGGTCATGTGAGTATGGGTACTGAGTAAGCCCAGTACTCAGTACCCGTACTCACATCGAGTACCCGCAGCAGGTACTCACGAATCGAAACCCGACCCTAAATTAGGGACGGTTTTTCAGAAACCGTCCCTATTTTTAGGGTCGGTTTCGAAACCCGACCCTAAAGAGAATCCGACCCTAAATCCGACCCTATTTTAGGGTCGGTTTCATGCACGATTGAGGAACGCTCCTGCGAGATAGCAGGCTGAGGTACCATATTTTGTCAACGCTTGTCGTGCTTCTGGCTTTGTTGTACGACTCAGGGGTTTTGGGAAATCAAAAGGTATTGCTGCCTTCAACCAGCATGCAGAAGCACGTCCGATTTCCTGTGCAATTGTACAGGATCCAACCTTCTGTACAATTGCACAGGAATCACGTCGATACGACCTCCTGTACAATTGCACAGGAATCACGTCGATCCTGTACAATTGCACAGGAATCACGTCGATCCTGTACCGGTACAATTGCACAGGAATCACGTCGCCTGTACAATTGCACAGGAATCGCGTCGCCTGCCAGGCCAAAATTTGACTGCAGGCTGGCTCTCTAAAAATCCTGTTCATATGCACAGGCTGTATGTAGTGCTCTCTACCCCCTGTCAACCACAAACCGCAAACCGCAAACCCAAAGCCAACTTTTCTTTTGACGCCGCTGTCATTGTTGTTGCTGTGGAACTGTGGGGCAGAACGGCACCATGCCCACCCCACAGATCATGCTTCCCGCTCTGGGAGACGTGTTGTCAAACTTTCTCTATGGTTTTCACGAGTCGGATGCTCCAACCAATGCCGAGCTCACGAAGCGGCGTCGAGACAACATGGTCAACGCCTGCGAACGACTTTTGGCGGATCTCGTCGGTCCAGGAGATTTGTTGGATTCCCAGGTCCGACATGAAATTGCCATGGAAGCCTACGGTGGATTTGCAAGCTCCGTCAACATGCGTTCCGTGATGTCTTTGCCGAATGGTGAAAATGATGATGCGTCGTTTGCAGAGTTTAATCAAACGGAAATCAAGCATAACTTTGTCACCAATGGACCCTTTCGGGATGTTGCCCTGGCCATTGTGAACTTTCAGCACCATCTTGATGAGAATTTCTTTGGTTCTGTGGTACAGCGTCTTCAAAAGACGTACAAGGATCATTCCCTCGAGGATTGCCGAGCCATGGCCATGGAGCTTACAGCTGTTGCCGCTGGATGCGACGCCGTTCGGACCTTTTGCGCTGCTGCTGGGATTGAAGACTATCCTCCTCTTCCAGGGCCGCTCGAACCAGTCCAACCAGCGCGATTTAGCACAGTCGCAGATTATGCCGTGTCTCCTTTGCAGTACAATAGCGAAGTTGCGTGGGGCCCATTTTTGACGCTGCGCAATTTGCGTCCTGAAATCGTTCAAAAGTTCCAATTGGACACCAACTTGTGGAAGTTTGGCAGCCTCCGCCATGCTCCAATCTCCAATGTCACGGCTGCGCCATTGACATGCCAGTCTGTCATGAAGTTTTTCGAGGAAATGTACGTGCCTTTGAACTACTTTCCTCGCTTCCTGCGAGTGCCTGGCCCCGATCGTCACTTGGCCCGCGGCCAAATTGAACCAGCAGCGGCTACCTACACGACCGTCAAGCATTGCCGCCTCTGACTAGAGGCCCATGGCGTCTTTTCTCACTTTTCGGGACCAGCCGTCATGGGACACACACCTTCCTTGGACACTCAGGTACGAGCCCTCGGAAGGGCGATGGCAAAGCCAGAAGCAGGATACCAAGAGGCACGACAAGCACTCTTGGATGCCAGCAATGAACATGCTCTCTTGGATGTGGCTGGCATTATTGCTTGGCATTCTCTCATCTCCAAATGTGTGGATATGTCTGGCTTTTACTCCGAAAAGGTTCCAAACATTATTGGCAAACTTGCGAAGATTGCTATTGTTACCCGCGCTATTCGAGAGATCCTGTTGCTTTTGCCACGCTTGCTCTTGGCCTTGTTGGCAGGTGGAGCCAGTACCAAGAATACCAAGCAGTGCTAAGTTTTGAATGGGCTCTAGCTAGCTAGTCAACAGGCAGTATAGCATATAGTCCTGTGGTTTTGAGGGTTGCTGGAATGACGGCTTTTGCTCTCTGTCGAGGGCAGGATGGCCTGATGCAAGTGCCCAAGGAGCCACTGAGGCATGTCACTAATGAAGGAAGCAAACTATACTCAGCCAATAGAACAAAGAAGACTATAGTTGACCAACCATACATCATGGCTTGATTGTCTCGCAACTTGAACCGGCCGTGCAGACCCTGCCTGCTGCGCCATGCCGGAGCGACATGTATGTGATAGCCCTGCCCGCAGCTGATGGCACCTACTACATGTAGCTAGCCAGAGCCGAGGTTCCGGGGTTTGTTTGACAGAACAGATTCAATTCCGAAAAGTATTCCCAGACGCTCATTTTGGCTGAATCATAGTCTTTTTCCTAACTTGCTGCGTTTCGGTAGAAGCCATCTGCCTGGCTGCGGTAGCGGTGTGTCGGTACCCATACTCTAGTACCTATGGCGAAAGTATGGCCAGTGGTAGGTGCTTCAGCCTTTCCGTTGCTGGATCTGACTCGACTCCACACGGATCATGAAAGCTCGGCGGAGCAGCAGCGTTGACGGCTACGATGTATGTCTGGCTGGCAATCAAAACCCCCCCGAAAGTCAAAGCTTTTCCGTTGCTGGATCTGTGAATTCTGCAGAATTGCCAACAAAAATTATCAAGATTCTGCAGAATTGATTTTTCTGCAGATTTTTCACCTGAATTCTGCAGAATCCCAGGATTCTGCAGAATATGCCTAACATCTGTTACCAGACCGTACCGGTACCGTACGGATCATGAAAGCTCAGCATGGCATGCACCATCCTACTGGCTGGATCCTCTCGGAGTCTTCTTCGTTGGTGTGTTCTGTGTGAAAGAGAAGGATCGTGTCAAGCTCTCCAAAAACATCAGGGGGCAGATGCTGCGTGATGGAGTGTGCTAAACTGTGCACCATGTCGGATCTCCACTCCCGAAACTGCTTCATTGGCAATAGCAAACTACAATGCCTACTACTAGCTAGCAACACCACAGGCTGCAACAGTATCGGAGGACTATCCTTTTAGATCTGCTGAAGAAGCAATGAGAGGTACCTTTGCGCCATGAGGGCAGGATGAGGGAAGCACTGCTCACAGTATTAATTAAGAGTGATTTTTTCGTTGCCTCGTTGCCTCGAAGCTAGCTAGCTACCGGCACAGGTACACTTTCTCCTGATTGTGCATTTTCTGAAACTATTGGCAACTGAACAACGAGGTATGGCTTCTGTTTTGCAGCAAAGCATGCGGTATGACAGGAGGTGGAGGCCAGAAGACTGCACCGGAGAAAGGAACTCGAACGTCCTTCAGGGACAAGAGTGGTTGCTGGTTTTCTTAAAAGCTGGTTTTTGGAATGTGGCACCACACTCAAGCAGCTATCCTGGGAATCTTTCAATCACTTTTCTTTCCATGCCCCAACCTGGTTGAGCCTGGAAGCCAGGTTCCGATTCCATCCACAAATATTAGGGGTGCAATCAAGTACTTGGCCTTGTGTGGCCTGATGGATCGTTTGTTTTATGGATCTGTTCCATCAGCTATTCCCTATCCCACCATCGCTCCTGTGCGACCTCGTGGATGCCAACTGCGCTGAGCTCGAGCTAGACTACACGTTCGGCAACAATGATACGCTAACGAACAAAGTTGACTGGAACTGACACCTTTCTATCAACTTGCATACCAGGCTATCATACCGGTATCTTCGACTCTGAATACTTGGGAACTAGGTTAGCTAGCTGGCTGACATGACTACGAGTGATTGACAACAGGATGTTATTCCGCACAGGGGCAGGTTTTGCTGAAAAAGTGCAGCTCTACTGCAATTTGGCTACATGTATGATTTTAGTTATCCCTGAAATGAAAATCATTCAGTTGCCTCTCTGTCGATGCAACCAACTGCTATGATTTACGAGGAGTACTAGTATGTACAAACCCAAGCTATCGACCCGGTAGCTACATTACTACTATGTCATAGATCTATTAATAGTAGTACTCCGTTGATTTATTTATTTTCGTACCGAAGGATGGCTAAACAACTTTCTCTACTACTCTAGCTAGCTAGCTAGCTAGCTAGCTATTAATAGAGCTCTAGCTAGAAAAAGACACCTCGCAAAGTTTGGCATAGTTTGGCATATCTTTGACGGAACAGTGCCGGCTTGACTTGGTCCCGAGCTGGATAATGCGATGCATGACTGAGAGACTTGTGCCATGGTTTGCACCCCTTTTTCAGGCAATCTTTCGCTTCACTCTCCTTTGCAGGAAGCCTCAAACAAAGTGACCTTATCATAAACACAAAATCAAAAACCAAAAGTTGTCAAGAGAAAGACAACCAGTGGCAGAGTTATCAGCAACGATATGACGGTGGAAGCAACCGACAAGGAAGGTAGTGTTGAAGTGAAAATCACGAGCATGATGACGAGCAAGGAGCTTGAAGACGAGAGTAACAAAGAAGACAAGAAGGACGATCCTTTGGCGTCGGTACCGGTAGACAATGAGGTGTCTTCGGAGGCTTCAGAGGATCTCAAGAAAGAGGCAGAAGATCTCAAGAAGGAGGTACCCACCCATGATCCCACCACAAGGAGCTTTCCTACCAACGCCGAGAGAGGAATGATCGAAGACGGAGCGCTTACAGTGTTGGATGTTCCCATGAGAGAGTTCAACATGGGGCCAATCTCCTTCAATCCCTTCACGTCCATGATTGGCATCATCGCGCTGTGGGGTTTGGCCATTTGGTGAGTGGGCGCTTTTCTATGCAGTATTTGAAATTTTTGTGTAAACAGGGAGAGTCGAGTCGAGTCATCTCATTTCAGCTTTTTTTTTATCACGACATTACCTCTTCGCTTTTCCCCCCTTCTTTTTTATCAAAGGTGCATGGTACGTCTCTTTGAATGACTGAATGGAATGTACCAGTATTCAAAGGCCTTGGTGTGGCAATCGCTCACAATTCACTGTTCTGTCCGCATGATTATGTATGTCATGATCTATAGGTCAATCCGGAGCAAGCCCTCGAGAACTTACTCGAAACTCGCGCCAATGTGGGCCTTTACTTCACTTGTGAGTCAAAAATTCGCACCAACACAACAGTGTTTCTTGTTTCATGACTCTGTTCGCTCACTCACTGGTCTGGTCGTGTTTCGTGACGCAGGGTTCATCATTATCACCAAGCCCTTGGCCTTTTTCTGGGTCCTTTACATTGCTTATAAATTTGGAGATGTCAAGTTTGGTGAAAGGGACGAGGAACCAGAGTTCAATGGGATGCAGTTCTTCTCCATGATCTTTGCTGCTGGAGTTGCCGTCGGAATCTTTTACTATGGAGTCGCAGAGCCCTTGTGGCATCAGGACAGTCACTGGTATGCCAATGCGGGGTATCGTTCACAAGATGAGGTAAGCCTTCTTGGCAGCGAGCGACAAAAAGATAACCTGCAAAGTGCTAGTAGCGTCATTGGCTCACGCAGCAATATTGATACCTCCTCCACTGGACTGGGCTTGACTGGACTTGCATCAGATCGATCAAATGGCCATGACCTACACGCTTTTTCACTGGGGTTTCATGGCCTGGGCAGTCTACATTTTGGTTGCTGTAACCACCGCTTTGGCTGCCTACCGATTCAAGTTGCCCTTGACCTTCCGATCCTGCTTCTACCCCATCCTTGGAGGTAAGTTACATTCCATCGATTGAGGCCAACACATACCTGATGAATCGTATGTATCTTACGATTTTCTTTCTGCTATACAAACAATAAATGCGCTCAGAATATACCTGGGGCTGGCTTGGTGATGTCATCGATGGCTTTTCCATTGTGACCACCGTGTCGGGAGTTTGCACTTCGCTTGGATTGGGCGCGATTCAGATCACTGCCGGGTTCCAGCGTCTTGGATGGGCTGATAAAGAGTTGACCACCGACGAGCTCGTCCTGATTCAGACTATTTTGATCATCTGCATCACTGCCGTTGCTACAGCCAGTGTCATCTCTGGACTTAGTATAGGCATCAAGTATCTTTCGATGTTCGGTAAGCATAACAGTCAATTCGATTCGATTCGATTTGATTCGACTCCAATTCAGCAGAGTGTGCTCTTGGCAGCAAACGTCTCACATTAGTTTCGTGTTCAACTACGATTGACAGCGTTTGGGCTGGGCATGGTTTTGACCTTTATTGTTCTTACCTTGGAGAACACACACTTCATTCTCAATCTTCAAGTTCAATCCATCGGACACTTCCTCCAGTGGACTACATTCCAAATGAATTTCCAAACTGACGCTTTTGGTCAACTTCGCGAGGGCGAGGGCCGTGCAGGTACGTTAGCAAACGATGGACATCTGAACTTTGGCAGCTCACAGCGTCCTCTCACACCAGACACTCGCTCTGTCGGCAGTTGATGGAAATGCCGCCGCTGCTTGGTGGATGGAAGCTTGGACTGTGTTCTATTGGAACTGGTGGACATCATGGGCCTGCTTCGTTGGCCTCTTCGTAGCCAGAATCAGCCGAGGACGAACAGTGGGAGAGCTCATCATTTACTCCCTGGTGGCTCCCTTCCTCTACTGCCTCTTCTGGTTTTGCATTTGGGGCGGTGCGGGTCTTCGCCAATCCCGCCAGGCATTGGAAATGCAAGAGTTGGGCCAGGAACACTTCAACGACACGTCATACTTTCAACATGGAGTTTCGGACTACTGCTACGATGTACCGCAGGAAGATTTGTGGCTCAATGGAACGCTGATTTTCACGAACTATCTGAAGGGCATCACTCCCGTGTGCGTGTTTGAGAGCACAGATGCCTCGAGTTTCAACGTTCTCTACAGTTTTTCCTACCCTAGCAGCTTTCCCAACGGCGGCATGGGCTCTGTGCTGACAGTGCTTTACTTATTCGCGGTGGCAGTCTACTTTTGCACGTCATCTGACAGTGGTTCTTTGGTGGTTGATTTTTTGGCGTCAAATGGAAAGCATGAACATCACTGGCTCCAACGATTGTTTTGGGCCCTTACCGAAGGTGCAGTTGCGATTGCCCTTCTCAACGCCGGTGGCCGTGATGGTCTAGCCGCCGTACAGGCAGCATCCATCATCGCCGGTCTTCCTTTCACCCTCTTCCTGGTTTTCCTGATGCAGACAATGTACGAATTCTGCGAACAGGCAGTCGACGACAACAACAAGTTTTACGAACCGCATTTACGAAAGGAATTCAGGATGCCTGTGTACGGTGGAATCTTCAATGTGATGGAGCTCGCCGCCTCTCTTGGAGGTGTCCACCATGAACGCGTCGCAATGGGAATTGACCGTCCACAGGGCGTCCATGTTGTGGAGTTCTTTAAGGGATTGTTCCTTCCGTTCGTCTCCCTCCTTGAAATTGTGACGACCTTCTACTCGGACCCGAGTCAAAAAATTTCGAACCTCCTAACGGTGGGCATTTACACGTTTTTGCACTTTGGTTGGATTGTCCTCTTCTGCGCGACATCAGCATATCCTGCTCTGCGTGCTTGGGGGTGGGTGTGCTTCTTCATGAATGGCTGCCTTTTGACCAGCATCAAGACTCACTACCGCACCACAAACAGCCTCCACGGCAACATCGTTGGCGACTTTTTTACTTCGCTGTTCTTCTTTCCTCAAGTCTTCGCCCAGCTCATCATTGAAGTCCGTGCAAACGACTTCATCAGTGGCGCGCCACAGGAAACCGAAGGGTTGATCGATGGGGCCGAAGAGATTTCCCCCGCTGATGATTCTCCCGAGCCAACGGTCCCAGCAGAAGATAAGACAAACACTTCGAATGTGAATGTGGCTCTTGGCCCGGAGATCAGCGCCTAAGAGAAAGACGACTCCCTGAATCTGCCAAGCAAGAACTATCCCAGAGTCATGTCCTGTCAAACCGTTCGGCCTATGTGGTCGTCATTCCTACGTGTGAATGTACTAGTATTTGTGTTCTGTGTGAAAGATGCATGGTTGAATGTCGTGAAGCAATTGATGCTGGCTAAGACTACACGTGCGTGGTAGCTATGATAACTGAACTAAACCTAAAAATGATGGTACCACAGCACACGGTTTCCCTATGTGATACATCTAGCTATGATACAAACAGTTGAGGGGTGTCAACAATGCTACGATCTAGCTAGTCATCTTCCTCCTCATCGGATTCATCGTATTCGTCTTGCTCATCTTCATCACTTTCATCCTCTTCCTCCTCTTGGTCTGCATCTTCCATCACGTCCAAGTCGTAGTCTTCGTCTTGACCCTCTTCTTGTTGCATCATCAGCGGAGCATCTTCCTCCCCGTAAATCATTTTCAAGGCATCTTCGTCTGACAAGGATAGCATTGCTTGTTGTGGTGCAGGCAGCAAACTCAGGAGGATGCTGGGTGGATTGCGCAAAAACGTGTACAGTAGGATCTTGTACCACAACTTGACCGGTCTTGCTTGTACAATGAAGCAAAGAGGAGCCCCTAGCAGTAATACTGCCCGAGATGTGACGGTTCGTCCTCCGAACCACCCGAAAAACAGGAACAAGCAAAAGTTGCGAAACGTATCTCCCCAATGCTATTTGTTTGTTTGTTTGTTTGGTTGGTTGGTTGGTTTCGGTAAAAGGAACCGTGTGTGTATTTTGATGGTTGTTGCGTGGTGAAGTTGTTATGCCCAGAATATTTGCAAATAATATTGGATGCCAACAAGTTTAGATCAAGACAAAGGCGCAGTGAAGAAACGGACAGAAGGATGGTGAGAAACAGGACGTAGTTTGCGTTGATGGAAGGACTGCAGCAACCTCCATACTTACAATGTTCAAATATTGTTGAGCGGTTTGTTTGAGCCCCACGACAGAAGACGACGACGTGACACCACCACCGGCACTGCCAGGTCTCACTCTCTGTCCTTTGACTTGTGGTTGTTTGGCCAATTCTGCTTCTGCCATTGCAGGTGGAACGTCGTCTTCCAACAACGAGGTGGCCTTGTCGGTAAACAAGTGTTCTTCAAGTTGTGCCTGCAAACCAGTGGCGTATTGTCGAAGTTGGAAGCTGATCAAGGGTGATGGTGTGGATGCTGTAGACACTTCTTCTTCATCGTCTTCTTCTGTTGGTTGTTGCTGTTCATCCGTTACAAACTGAGAACCGAGCCATAAGGCAGCTTCGGTCAAGGTATATGCTTCCAACAAGTCAGCTGTTGTGGTTTCTGGGAGCTTTTCCTCTAGCTCACTTGCATGCCGTGGATCGACCGGTGGAACCATATCCAACACGAGTGTCAAGGAAGGTTTCTTTTCGGACTCACCATCCTCATCCTCATCCAAATCGTCATCGTCGTCTTCATCTTCGTCTTCCATAAGTTCATCCACGAGCACTTCATCCTGCAGAACTTGTCCATGTTGGATGAGTCGAATCATTTCCAAGGGCGGTTTGCCGGGTAGTCTTCGTGCTAGATTCTTCTTGAGAGATTCCACATTTCGCGTACGAACTGCATTGAGTTCAAAGGACATGTCCACGACGCTGCTTCCTAGATTCGTCTTGACGAGTACTACAAGAGGATCCATGGAGGTAATATCCTTCTTGGAAGAATCATCTGAAGGGGTATCTTCTTCTTCATTATCCTTATCGTCCTCGTTTTCCTCGTCATCTTCTTCTTCCTCCTGCTCGGCCGGGGCTTCACTGCCACCTCGAGGTATCGATGTCCAACATGGTAGATCCAAACTGCCTTCACATGCTACAGTTCTGGGTGGGGTAGCCGTAGGTAACTGCCCCAGACCCCAACCCATTCTACCGGCAGAAAAATGTCTTGGTTGGCGGGTCGCTTCACTGACAGATACTACGAGCGCCAAGCATACTACTGCTGACACCAACAGCAAGGAAGACGGTGAATGTTGTGGCTGTAATGGTGCCATTATTCCCCTGTCTCAATGATGACTAATCGTACGGTATGGTATCAAAGACAGAATGAAATCCGTTAGCAGACGCTGAACCTTGGTGGTATCTCGCAGCAGATAAGATAAGAAACCACAAAGACAAGGGATTGCTCCTATTGAAACAAAGAATCGCAACCTTCTTGTAAGGATCTGCCACAAGACGAATGAGATCGGTTGTTGCTCCCAACGCATCGCCAGTGTGGACACGAAGATCCTGTGGGCAAAGCTGACACGTGGAATGGGTTCGTTCGGTTGGAGGCCAGACGTAGGATGATTCTGAATTAACCCTACTAGTATCTCTACATCCAATAGTCCGAAACTCCGCTCTACTCTGTCCGGCATGGCATGACTGGTGGTGCCGGGTGCCGGGAAATGGGAAGGCTTCCTTTTGGTTCTTACAGGGGGTCTCTTACGTTTAAATCTCTCAGGGTAACCCTCAATAATTACTTAATTATGATGGCTGTTGGGAACCCCACGAATCCCACTTGCCGAACCCCAACTTGGCTCACTGGAGATGGTTCTGTCGCTCACTCCTGTTGTTTGGCTTCGCGATCGGTAGTATCATGCCGGTAGCACAGAGATACTAGTAGCGTAGATGCATTTATTTCTATCCTCGAACTTCCACAGAGGCTCAAGTGGTCAAGAGTGGGTGGAGGTTTGTTGATTGCTGTCATCACAAGCAACTTGAACCACCAGAATTTGGCTGGACAAGGCTTCCACCGCCAACAACGAACGGTTTTTACGACCTCAAACTCCACAAACTCTACAGGCTAGCTAGACAGCAGTGCACAGATTGATTGATGAACCATGACGGGCAACGCATCTGAAGATGGAGGAGAATCAGGAGCCACTACTAGTACATGTGTTGGCCCCAGCATGTCGTTGCCGGACCGGCTAAAGGCAGTGCTCGAAAAGGAAGGCAATGAGACCTGTGCAGAGTGTCCCGAAGCCTCTCCCACATGGGCGTGTCTCTTGACCAATCCATTGGACGACGGAGACGGAAAGAAAGTACTGGCTATCTTTTGCTGTTACAAGTGCTACGGGGCCCATTTCCAACTGGGGAAGGATGTGGGTCAAGTAAAGAGTACACGGAGAGCCAATGATTGTACGTAAGGCTGACTGACATGGCCGTTGGATACCCCATTCATTGTTCTACCGTGCAAAGTACTCATCTCTTGTGTTACTGCGGTATCCACTACTTACTTCTCTACTATGTTGACAGGGAAAGAGGAGGAAATTGAAATTCTAGAAGCCAGTGGGAACAAGATTGTCAATGACATCTACGAATTCAAGCTCACACCGGAAGATAAGCAGAAGGAACACGGGGAGGACAAAGATACCTTTGTCAAGAACAAGTACCAAAATATGCTCTACTTTAGCAAGCGCGCCTTTCAACAGTTCCAGAAAGGGCACTCCACAACAACCAACGCTACCGGTACATCATTCTCATTTCGCCTTCCGGGTAGATCCGTGTCGTCTCATGATGGAAAACGGACCCTGATGACTCCCTCCTTTGATTGGGTATCCTTTTCCAAGGCAACACCGAGCAACAAGGAAATGGAAGAACAACAAGCAGATGATGCAGATCAAAGCAATCTCAAACGTTTGTCCAGACGAGGGCTCACAAAGGCGTTTTCCAACCCGTTTGCCCTGGAGAGCATGAGACGAACAGTATCGGGAGAGCAAACCTCCAAAGATTCATCATCGTCAAAGCTCGAAGGAGAAGACAAGAAAGAATCGGAAGATTGCGATGGTTCCGACAACTCACAAAAGGACAGGGAAACCAAGAAGAATACTAGCTTGGCTTTTCTGGACAAGAGAAGAAAAAGCGTGGACGACGACGATGATAGCGCCAGTGCATCTGGATCCGTCAACTCTAGTGCCAGTCGTATTCGTAGGAGGCACACTCGGCGCAATCTCAGAAAGACTGCTTCGAGTCCGTTGGCTTTGGCATCCATGCGGCGGGAACTTGCAACGATGAGAGCCAAGGGCGCAGAAGGAAACAATGAGGAAAGTGACGACAAACCCGACGAAGACGAAGAAGGTCCGCTACCTACGGCATCCACAAAGGCCAAGCGCAAGTCCAACCCCGAAACCAAAAGGTCTGAAAACAAACTTGAAAGAAGTCGAAGCAAGCGGAAACCAGGGTCCACGAATAGCCTGGCAGGAATGCGGGATTGGAAAAGTGAGGATCCAGAAAAAACGAGAGATATTGGCAGTATGAGGAATAAGCAGTCCTCGTCCAGGAGACGTAGTGACAAATCATCGAAGCGGTCATCCAAGTCACCCCGCCGCACATTGACAGAGGGTGACAAATCGTCGGGACGGTCCTCCAATTCACCCCGCCGCACATTGACAGACCAGGGAACGATTAAATCAGAACGAAGCACTAGGGGAAGATCCTCCAAGAAGACGGACAATGCTTCTAGTCACAAAAGAGAATCACAGGACCAAACCCGGAAAAGCTCGTCATCACCGAAACGAGGACTCGAACGAAATGAAAGCTTGGTTTCCAAACGAGGGCTCGGGCGAGAATCCAGCAGCCGTTCTGTTGGTAGCTCAAAACGGGGTTCATCAACTAAACGCGAACTTTCACCAGCAGAGACCGGCAAGTCTAGGCGTCACCTGCTGGCACGAGGTGAAAGCAGCCGTTCTGCTGGTAGCTCAAAACGTGCGATATCCCCAAGACGGACAGTTTCACGGGACGAAACTAGCCGCCAGAGCGGTGGATCAAAACGTGGATTATCACCGCTACGGCAGATCATTCAAGATGAAAGCAACCGCTCTAGCGGTGGATCAAAACTCGTGTTATCACCAGCACGGCAGCTTATTCGAGATGAAAGCAGCCGCTCGGTTGGTGGCTCAAAGCGCGTGTTATCACCAAAACGGCAGCTCCTTCGCGACTCTTCAATGCGACTTGCACGAGATGAGAGTGTGCTCTCCAGACAGCCATCCATTCTCCTTTCGCTGGACGACAGTATCGATTCTGAGGGCAGTTCGCGACATAGGGGTGGCAGTGTACCCTCTATTGGAATCCTGGGCGTGCGAGGTACAAAACGAGAGCCTTCTTCTCATTCAGCAGGTTCGGGTGGGGATCTCAGCCGCCAATGCAGTGACCGCTCGATTGATTCCAGCTCGACTTTGGACACATTGGAAACCGCCCACTCGGGACAATCACTGGCTTTGCTATCCTCAAGCGGTGATGATCCTGTCGAACGAAGGCCAACAACGCAATCAATCTGTTCCAACTCGCTCCTTGATACATGTATGTGCCCAGATAGTCCCGCCTCTACCGCTTCTGAAATGAGTCAAGACTTGCTCAGTGCACCGAATACTCCCAATCATCTAACACCAACAAAGAAGCAGGAACAGAGACGTTCGGGTCAAGAGTCAACTATTGACTCTCTTGCCATTCCCGATATCGTCACCACTGACGACGACCGTGACGAAGAAGGTGATGGTTGCAGCGCCTGTAGCAAACACTCGGAGAAAAGGAAGAAGAAGCGTTCGAAAGCCAAACGCTGCAAGACCATGAATTCTCCTAGATGTTCTAAACACGACGGTTCACCAACGTCATCGAAAGCTCCCGACGGTTCCTCCGAACGGCGAATACAGCGCAGCTCGAAGCATGGCCGACGAGGACATCGTGGTGATAAGCCCGAGAAAACACTACAAGGCACAATAATGGCGCTCCACGCAATCAGCAAGACTTCGGTTGTCATTGATCCAGAAACTCGCAAGGTTGTACTGAAGCGATGCACAACAATTGAGTAGAACGATTAAAGTAGATAGTACCAGGCAGAATCGAATCGAATCAAATCATTCACCAGGTGGGAAACTAGACAGAGAAAACCTTGAGCGTTTTGGGCTTGCGTCGTTGTCTCTTCCACTGTAGATGCCATCGGAAGGTCAGCTTAGCTCGACCCAGTGAGAAGTGCGAAATACTGTAATAACTGTACAAGTGGTCATAATGACAAAAAAGGCTAGTTAGCTAGTAGACGAAATCAGTCAGTCGATGCGTCTGTTGATGCCACAACTGATGCCACCTCCTTGCTCTTTGCTCCTTTTAGCTCGTTCCCACTCTCACCTGTCGTCCTCTCCATGCCTTTACCTTCTCTGCAGCCAACCTCACTCATCCGCTCTATATATATGTACTGGTACTAGTAGACACAAACGCTCATCCTATCAGTTGTAGAAGTCAAGAAGAAACAAACGAGGAACCAGCCACGATGGATGCCAGAATGAGTACCGGTATCAAGATGGTGACAAGCTTGCCTGGGGTCCTTACAAAAGTGACGAATCCGTTTGGTCAGTCTTCCAAGGAAGTTTTGCAGAAAAGGCTGATGTCTGCTCAGGAGAGGCCCGAGAATCAGGTCTGTTCTGACTGTGACGAACCTGATCCTGAAATGGCGTGCCTGTTGATCAATCCGGTGGATAAAGGAGGCGCCAAATTGGGAGTGTTTTGCTGTGAAGACTGTGCTTCTGCCATGACTGACTTGGGGAGACTTGTATGCGAGGTTAAAAGCACAACGTTGACTCAGTCTGAGTGTGAGTTATGGAGAAAAAAATGATAAGGGCCTGGTTGCAACGGATCCATCGCTAACTAACTGGGATTTCTGTATTGTTCATTCTTCAGGGACACCAGAGGATGTTTTGGCTATGGAAAACACTGGCAACGAGTTGGTCAGCTACATCTTCGAGGCACAATTGAGCCACGACGAACGCGAGGAAGAACGATACAAAAGGGGATTTCACCGCCACAAGTACGAGATCTTAAAGTTCTTCAGTAAAGCAGCCTACGAGGAACGATCTACTCAGATTCACAGGCCAGCAATAGAGGCAAAGGACGAGGAAAAGGTAAAAGATGTCTCGGACGAAAAGAAGAAGGAGAAAAGGGACAAGAAAAAAGACAAAGACAAAACAACAACCAAGAGCAAAAAGTCGGCAAAGAAATCGAAGAAAAAGGGCAAAAAGACAGACGACAAAGAAACGGGCAAAAAGACAGACTCTACAGCGGACGATGATGATGCATCTATCGTTTCCATCCAGGATTTGCTCAGTGGTGACGAGGAGCAGGGACCGAATAAAGACGAAAGGGTCAACGATGGGGAAACATCGCTGAGCATTCTCAATATTCAGGATGGTGGAGAGGGCGAAGTTACGAAGTCTGGAGGTGCCAAACCTGAAGCGGTCCAATCGCCACATCGTAGATCCGTCAGAAGACGCCGTTCTGCAAGAGGTCTCGATCAGCTTGAAGGTGGCGGGACAAGTTCAGGAAACAAGGATGAGCCAGTGAGGCGACGTGGCTCTACACGAAGGCTCGATAAGCCTGATAATACAGGAGATCCACTCCGATCACAATCTGCTCATGCGCCCATGCGAAGGCGCCGATCTGCCCGCGGTTTGGAGGGCGACCCTCTGGCAGGCGGCTCGGCTCACGGCCCTACTAGGAGGAAACCGCGTGATCCTTTGAGTTCACACTCGGCTCATGTACCCAGGCCAAGGCGCAAGAAAGATGATAAGAATGCCGAAAAGCTCGCATCCTCGACGAATGAAATAGTTTGGAACCCTCTCGAGGCCTTGCCCAGCCATGAATCCTTTAACGAAAAAAGAGACATCACACAGCTTGCTCAGATCTCTCTCACCCAACTCGGGTTTGAAGATTGGGACCCTCATATGTCGCATGCATCTTTCGCGTCCAGTAACGCTGCTGACAATGCCACGGCAGACGAAGGAGCCGAAAAGGGTGACGAAGCGAATGTCGTCACCGACAAAGATATAAATGGCTCGCCTCAGGCCAGCGGGTGCGATTCGCCAACTCCACAACGCGGAATCCGCAAGAGTATATCATCCAGCGCTTCCTCCACAAGCAAACAGCGAAGCTTGACTCCCATAAGAAAACAACGAAGCCTGACTCCACTTAGAAAACAACGAAGCAAGTCACCAGGGCCCGACGGGCTGAAGCCAACACCAACAGCAGTATTCCCAATCCGTGACCTGGGAGATGCCGATGATGTTGAACGTTTTCAGGCGTCGTTTTCATCCACGAGGGATGCCCGAAGGAACGACCGACGCGCGAGAGGTGAAGCCAAACCAAGTCGCCAAAGGTCTTCTTCCAGACAGAAATTGTCTCAGTCGTTGCATGCCCTGCCGTCGCATGCCCTGCCGTCAGTCCAGGGAAACTCTGTATGCTCTGATGCACCCAGCCGACAAAAGAAAGCAAGGTCGCCCAGACGTGATAAGGATGCAAATCGCAGTGTTTCCGGTGCGAAGCGGAGATCCAGCTCATCCAGGAGAATTGGCAAGTCTATGGGTGGACTTGAGAGCGAGAATATGACCCCTCAGGATGCAGATGGACAAGCTAGTAACCAGAAATCATCATGCAGCGAGGATGTTATTGACTCTGCCCAGGAATTCGTCTATCCAGACGAAATTGATGAAGGCAGCTATACTGAGCACGAACAAAAACCGCGACGTAAATTAGCTGCAAAAAGGACGGTTTCAGGGGAGCGCAATCGAGCTGTGCCGGCTAGGTCCAAGTCGGCCTCCACGCTGCTTGGGAGGGAGCGCCGAGGGCCACCTGGCAGGTCTGGTTCCTCGACTGGACTAAGGGATGCCAAAGAGCCCAAAGAGTCCGATGTCAGCAACAAAGCTCGACAACCTAGAGACAGGGATCGACGCGAAAGAAGGTCGGCAGCCCAGAACAGGGAAAGGGTCCGAGCCATGATGCACAGAAGTCTCGTCGACTTCGCAGACCAGGTGCCAGATCCCGGCGAACTCGAAGTGGACGATGAACCTGAGGAATCCAAGAGGAGTAATAGCGACTCTGACAGTGACGGCGACAGCGACAGCAGCGAATCGGAGAGGTCTTCGTTTAGTGCCATTGATATCATAAAGAAGAAAACCACTGGGCTTGTCAAGAAGACGGCCGAGCAAACTACTGGCCTTGTCAAGAAAACAGCAGGACAAACCACAGGTTTGATGATCAAGACAGCAGAGCAAACGACTGGCCTTGTGAAGAAAACGGCAGGACAAACTACAGGTTTGGTGAAGAAAACAACAACTGGGTTGATCGATACGATCCGAAGAGAACGCGAGAAGCGAGCACACGACGCAGCCGATGGCGACAATCCGATGGAAGACGAAGGAGATTCCGACAAACGTACTTCGCTCGTAACAGCTGGCGCCGGATAGCTTCCTCGCGTAGATTTGCCTTGGTTTGTTCCAAGGCAACTTCGTTGAGCATTCGCATCAGTTTGTTCAGCAGCCACAGATACAGCCCAACCGAGCCCAGCCAACATTAGCAAGCCTCTGGAGATTGATTCCGGTTTATAGCGCTTGGCACAGCTTCAGGGACGAGTCCGCTGCGCGCTTATCCGTTTTCATGGTACTGGTATGGTTTTTGCCAATTTCTCGGTCGTCTCTATTTATTAAAAGACACAGTAGCCAACATCATTCGCAACATTCGTACCCTTCGAGTTGCTTCGGAAGCCAGAACAAAGCATTTGATTGAGATTCGTTCTACTGCATGACATACAGTATTGTAGGGTCGTCCGGGGCTATCTTTGTGCCTTCTTAAACCAGCTAGGCTGTAATAAATGAGATGACCATTCTAGAAATTCCTGGCTTGCTTCCAATGTCACTGTAGATGATCCCGGTAAAACCGAGAGCCGAGAGCGATACCTCTAGCTAGCGGTAGCAAGTATTCACATGTACAGTGTACTAGCTAGCTAGTATGTACACCGGCATACGTGTACGTAAGCAGCTTCTATTTGTCCAGTGTTCTACAAGGCTTCCGGGTGCACTCCAGTTGACTACGTCATCTGTGGTGGTGGGTGGTGGAGTACTAGCTACTAGCTAGTACAGTACCCCTCAATTGCTTTTTGTGATGATCCTTGCCTATGGCCATTGAGCAATCCTTCCTGGCTCCATCTCTTGCTGGATTATATGATAGATAACTTCGTTTCCAGGATTGTTCATTTTGCACCGTAAGCACCAAGCGATGTGCGTCGTAACAGAAGGTGGCAATGGTGGAGACAAAGCGGAGACTAAGCAGCGGCTACAGCTTTTGCTAGACCATAGCAGCAATAAGTTTTGTGCCGACTGCCCCGACCGATCGCCGCAGTTTGTGTCTTTGCAACAGAAGCCCCTCGTGGAACGCGGCAATCTGATGGGGGTATTTTGCTGCGGGCCGTGTGCAAGATTTCATAATGAGCTGGGAGAGGGCGTCTGCGTCGTAAAGAGCATTCACGTGGATTGTAAGTGCGGGTGCATTGTTTGATCTGAACTGCTGTGTTCAGTTGCACTCACTGCAACTGTGCCACTGTCCTCTTGCTGCTGCAGTCACACTAGACCAAGTTCAACTGCTGGAACAAAGTGGTAACCAGTTCGTGAACTCCATATTGGAAGCTACTCTCGACGAGAATTGCAAAAGCACCACCGACAGAGCAACTTTCATTCAGCGGAAATACCAGGACCATCAGTTCTTTAGTAAAGAGGTGCTCCATCAGAAGAACGCCATTCGCGCCAAAGCCAGTCGATACGCCACGATGATGAGAGCACCCGCTCCAACTCGCACAGACAGGCTGCTGAACAGGCCACCTTCCAACCAAAACCTCCAGGCAGTGGCAGCAGCAACAGAGCGTAGTAGGCAAACCCTTGCAAGGTCCCAATCCGCATCCAGCCTCATTGTCACAGGAGGGAGGAAAGGTATAGCATCAATCCGAGCGAAAAACATGGATGGGGGTGGAGCGACACGCAGAAGAAACAGATCCTCCATGGACCACACAAGAGATAGACGCGACGACCAAACTCGGAGAAATGGTGCGACTGTAAGGAATTCAACTTCGGATCCTTTCCTTGTGGGAATGGATGCATCACAAGATGCTCTCGAAAGTAAGCCACCCGCGTGGCGTTCATCCAACAGCGAGACTGGTTCGAAGGACGCTAGGAGACCAAGGAGGACAGATGACTTTGGATACTACAGCAAATTCTCCGGCAGAAAGTCTTCACATAGGGGCTACAATGAAGGTTGTAGCGACAGTGAACCGGACTATAGCTCTGAAAGGAATCCGCAGAAGGGCAAGTCAATGCCAAGATCCTCCTCCAAACCAGAGCTTTCATCGCGGGGCAAAGGTGGAAGATCGCCCAAAAAGTCCTCTTCCTCCAAGTGGACTATCGTGAAAAGTAGTTTACGCAGCAAAGAGTCGAGGAGGGGTTTGCTTGAAGCTTACACAAATTCAATCAGTGACTCAGAGGACGAAGATGGCAGGAAGCGGTACGCAAGGTCTTCACCTAAGAGAGAAGCCAAGGGATCGTTGTCCAAGTGGTGCATTGTGCAGCACACTCTCCTGGATGAAAGCGCACGAAGGATGTTTCTTCAGTCATACAACAGCAACGATCACGACACCTCAGATAGCGAGGAGGACAGGGAGCCTAGAAGCACCCAGAGTTCAAGGAACCAAAGGCAGAAGGAATGTACTTCTTCCAATCGGCGATCATCCACGGGCAGATCTCCAAGGCGATCACCTGACCGGTCTCCAACGCGTCGCTCAGCCAACAAAGATGTCCTGGTCGAGGAGCGGAAGGACAGGAAAAGTGGACGATGCTCCTCAAAGGCAAGTTCAGAGGACGCGTTGGACCTCTCAGCAAACCTGGATTGGGCCTCGTGCAGGGTTGAGTCTAATGCTTCTCTGAAACAAGATCGCTTGGCGGCCATATTAGAACGTCCCGACAATTTACGTTGCTGTGAATGCTCCAACATGAGACCTACATGGGCCTCATTCTTCAGGTCACCCGTTGATGGTAGCCGGCTTGGTGTACTTTGTTGCTTCGCATGCCATGACTTGCATCACAAGGTGGGCGATGGCGAGTTCAGGTAAGCGTTGGAATGATGTTTCCGCCATCAAGGAGTCGAGTCACTTTTTGCGTAAATAGAGCATGCGGCTCACATTTCACTTATTGCTTGTCTTCAGGCTGATTACTGTGCGAGATGTTGATGAATGTAAGTGAGGCAGCCAAGTTGGCCATCATCTTTTCAGGTTGCCATTTTCTCACTTTGCAATGACCGTGCTTCGACAGGGACTGATTCCGACCTGGAGGCCTTGGAAATAAGCGGGAACAATGTCATCAATGCAATTTACGAAGCCAATGTTACCAACGAGAAGGACGACCGGGACAAACGAGAGCATGGACATGAAGCATACTTCTTTGAGAAATACATGAATCTCTCTTATTTCAATGGACGTGTTTACGACCATGTGATGTCAGACGCCTTGCTCAGGGCTGTCGAACGGAAGAAAGCTATTGAGATTGAGCAGCAGCTGCATCGGTCTTGGGACGGGTTGCAGAGAAGGCAAAATCAGAATCATGGTGAGAAACCTGTGGACGACGAGCCAAACAGACGTGTAACGAGCGCGTCATCAGGAACTGTCCTAGAGCTTGCCAGCAGAAAGCACGGAGAAGAGGAGGGAGACCGTCGATCTAGTAGAAAGCTGTCACCGAAGCGCGAGACAAACCGACGTGGGAAAAGGGCTTCATCTGGAAACGCCCCCTCGGAACTTGCCGAAAAGGAGTGTTTTTCCAGGAAGTTGTCGCCAAAGCGGGAACCTAGCAGCAGGCGTGCAAGGTCCTCATCGGGCACGAGTCTTAGTCGTTTGGGCGCAAAGGACAAGCAGCGAATGGAAGAAACAAGGATTCGACTAGAAGCATTGACGTCTGAGAATGTTTGCGGAAAGTCCAGGAAAAGTGAACGCGCTGGAAGGCAGATCTCCCTCGACCCACACGACGAAAACATTTCCACGAAGCGAGCATCATCAAAGGGGAGCCGCAATAACCTTGACGACTCGGTGGGCCATTACGGTGGCATGAATTCTTCTGCAAGGCGATATGGCGAGGGAGACCGCAGGGCAGGAGAAAGGAGCCCCCCCAGACGAGACCACGTTGACTCGACCAGAAAGTCGTCTAGTAGACGCGGCAAGTCGAAACAGAAGGAAGATGCGTCGAAGAAGTGGAATAATCTTTTGCATTCGGCTGTTGATCCACTCCTCGTAGGCTAGCTAAATAGATAGATATGAATAATCACTGCTCAGAAGGTCTCTGAGCAGCCGCAGTCAAACAAACGCTGCGCTACGGAACAGGCAAGGGGACTTTGTCGTTCGCAGTGGCAGTCTACCGGTTGTTAGTGTCGACACTCAAGATTACCATGTTTGCATCCCAATTCGTCTTGATCCGTGTTCTGTGTCGCTTGTGGTCATTCATCAGCTCCTGGACGAAAAGGCTTCAAAGCAACTAAAGAACCAACAGGAAGATGGATGAAGAAGTGAGAGGCCGCTTTGGCACCACCTACTTTGTATTTGGTCCATCTAGTCTCATTTGCTATATAGTTACAACTTCTGTGTCGGCACCTACAACATACATACAAACTACTCATCATCCTACCTCATCCATCATCAAACTCATCATCCTAGCTTTCCTCCTCTTCTTCAGAGCTACTGGTGGCCAGAGACCCTGGAGCACCGCTCACGAAGTCTCTCCAAGAAACTCGGACATGAGGAGTCAGCGCATCCCCAGGAATCACACGGTGCTCCTTCTTGGATCCCTCGGGATGGGGCGGAGCAGTCCGTTTCCACGAGAGCGACTTCAATTCTTCCTTTGCCTCTTCCGACAAGAAGTGGAACCCCTTGACCAAGCCACGGCAGGTCAAAGCACCACAAGTGCAAATGCCATCACCCAAACCATCCCATTCGGTACGGTCCCAGAGAAGTGTATTAAAATCCACAGTCAAGAGTTCACCCTTTTGGATCGGACGGGCAGCATAGGTACCGTGCCAGTCATCGTCTTCATCCTCATCTTTGTCGTTGTAGACTAAGTTGGGATCACAGGAGTGTCGCGTGAACAAATCAAAGCCAGAAAACTGCAAGACACCTTCACGATCGCGCTTCGCAAATTCCAGGGCATCTACACGGACCATGGTGTTTTCCTCTGGGTCTCCTTCCTCCAACTTTCGCGAGAAGACAATGTCAATCAAACGGGTACCGTTTTCTGGCCATGCCTGGGTAAAAAACTCATAGACTTGTTCTCCCTCTTTAAAATCTTTACCAGCATACAAGGCGAAACGGCCCGTCCCTTCCTCAACTTTCATCAGAATCGGAGCCATGGCATGACTGGGACCGGGTACGACCAAGCGCAATGCCTTGGAATCGTCAGGAACCGATCGAGGAGGGTATGTTTTTTGTTGTCTTTTGACCGGGAGTCCTTTTCCCGTATCTGCTTCGTACATGGCTTTCACGGCTTCACTCACGTAAGGTAAGGCTGTTTTCTTCTGCTCTTCAGTCAATGCTTTAAAGCCCATCATTTGCCCACGGCACTTGTCGCTGCCGCAACAGCACTTTTCAAAGAAGGGGCCTAACGCGAAACAAGGAAAACTGCGTTAGCTCTACCATTGAAACTGAGCATCAAGAGAAAGAGAGACACACAAATTTACCATGATCATAGTACTGGAAAGTGTAGTCATAGGTAAGCTCTTCGCCCTTTCTAATGTCTCGGGCAGCGTAAGCTTCTCCACTGCTTTCATTGTGCGAATCGTCAACAATGTTGGGATCACAGCTGTGGTTGATGAGCATGCCTGGTGTCTCTAGGTGCCACGAGATAATTCCACCACAAGCTCCTTCGGGATCTGGTTTCCACGCTGGAACTCCATGAGTACGGGTCAAGACATCTCGAGTCAAGGGCAGGAAGGCTGGGATATCTTTTGGGCTTCTTCGATTCGCCTTTTCAAAACGATCAAAGCGCACAACGTCCCCTTCCCGAACATCGGCAAAGAGAAACTCATAGGAATCCGTAAAGACAAGCTCTCCCTTTTTGATCTTCCGAGTGGTAGCCAGACCAAGGCCACAAGAGCCATTCACCACACGATAATCCCACGTGAAAGCTGGGAAATTGACCTCTCTTGGAGCTGGATTGCCTCCATTGCCAGTAGATGCACTGGTGTCTTGGTTGCCCATGGTCTACTACCGGTTATTGTGTTACTAGCTAGAGTACCGGTAACAGGTGGCTGTGTTTTGTGATGAATGATGAGGCAACAATGCGAATTTGACAAAGTGTTCGTTGATCTTGTGAAACAACGGCAAAGAGGGTCATGGAACTTGAGTACCGGGTATGACGATTAGGGGGCACACGAATGCGTTTTGTGACTTGTGACATTCTCAAGACAACTTTTCCCGCCTCGAAGGCACAAGCCTTTGCTCGTTAACACACACGTTGCAAGCTGTCAATCCCCTTTGAATTTCGCTACCGCTGTTTACCACATAGCCACGCAACACGCCTTTTGCCAGAGCAAGTCAAACGCTCCCATGATTTCCTGTGTGGGTGTTCAAGATCCCACACTATCTTCATCCACGCCGTTATAGTTTATCTCGGCGTGGAGCAAGGACCACTCCCCACGTGCACGAAACCTCCCATGTAGCTCCTAATACCAGGTTGAACGGGCGCCACCTTTAGAGTAGCGAGGTGTCAAGGTGAGGCTAGCTACCCAGCTCAGGGTCCAGCCGTAATCCGCCGTTTTCTCCTCTCAAACATCCGGAACCCACGTGGAAATGAATTGTCGTTGTGGTGGGAATGTTCCGAAGCATGGCCCAGAGCATGTCGGTGACATCCCAGGAGCTTCCCAGGTCACTTTTATGCTACTAGGTACGACTCCATCACTCTCTTTCTCAATCAAGCACTCAAGAAGATGATTACGTTTAATTCAATAAATATATGCGTATTCCCCGTTGATTTCCCTCCGTATGAGCTTGACAGATGAATGATTGCAACATTCTTTGGTTGGTTCGTCTATGGCTGCTTTTCCGTTGTCGTCTTCGTTGTGGCAACGGCCGTGCTCCCCTCTTGCTCTTTCTCTGCCATGGTTGCCTGCTCTGTCTCTGCTGATTTCAAGCTGCCAGTTGCGGTTCCTGGCGCAGTTGAGGTGGTGGTAGTTGTAGTTGTAGTCGGTAGATCCTCCGCTTTTTGGGTCAGCACAACCGTGTTGGTAGCTTCCTTTGGAGAAGGTGTTGTTTCCAGTGAAGATTGCCCCGCTTTGTCTGTTGTCAACGCTTGGGTAACATTTTTCGGATTTGTTGTATCCACCATTTTTTTCATGAAGACCATTGATTTTGGTTGTTGTTGTTGCTGCTGTTGTGGCACTTTGGTTGCCCCTTGTCGTGGTTTTACAACAGTGCTTTGTTGTTGCTGTTTGTCTTTGTTTTCGTTGTTTAGTCGTTGGCCAGCAGTGGACTTTGTTGCTGTGACGGCGGCATGATAGTTGGCAATACTGCGTGCCTTGACTCCTTGGACATGCGCCTTTTGATGTTCGGCCGATGCGAGATAGAACAAGCGATCCAGTTCCTTTTGTCCTTCGGCACAGTGTTCTGGCAGTGCCATATCTTTCACAACGACCAGTTCCAACGTCAGAAAGTCTTGATACGCTTCCGTCAATTTTGTCTGCAACTCGCTGGACACGGCTTGTTGGTGTGTTCGTCTCAAGTCTCTAGTGCTGATCTTGGAAATGATGGATTGCAAAATAGATTTGGCCATGGCTGGCATGTGAAAATCATGATCCGGGCCACATTCGACGTAGAGTTGTGGAATCTTGTCCTCCTTTAGTTTGTACACGATGGTCACTTGCACGGTCAAGGGAAGTCCATTCTGAGCGACCATGTTGTTAAATTCATAGTCGCAGTGGCGTGGTTGCAACGAGTAGCGCGTCAATTTGGACCACGGATGGACGACATGAGTGCCCGCCGATAGCAGTGTTGGATTCATGCGCCCCGACCAATATTCCTCCACGGCCACTTGACCAGTGGAAACCACTTGAAGGCTTTGCTTGGCACACCACAACGCCAACAGACTCGTGCCGCTCACAGTCATCAACACTCGTTGGGTCTTCCGACTCGGTCGAAGCACATTGTGGACAGCCGTTGTGGTGGACACTCGTCGACGACGGATTCCTGCTCTACTGCTGCTAGTAGTACTCAGCAGTAACAATCGACTCGTCCATGCTCGTGGTGACGTGCGAGAGAGACAATTCATTCCTTCCTCGTATACTACAGTAGTAACTTCAGACGGTTGCTTCACAACAATTCTTTGTTGAGTTGTTGAGGGTGCCGTTGCCTGGTTGTTGTGAGGCAAGATGCGAAAGATCGGGTTGTTTGATTTTTATTCTGTTCCCTAACTCATGCTGAGAGTATCCACGGTGTAATCCACGACACGATCACGATCTTGCTATCAAAGTACAGTAGATCTAACCACAACAGCTGGTCCTGGCAAGCAACGAAAGCAGACACGACATTCAAGAAGCAAAGAAGGACAGTCAAGACGCTGACGAGGTGCGAACAGATCGGGTGTCTGCACTCAAAGCACGAACAAAAATGGAAGACTAGCTATTAGTGAAATCCTGCTGATGAGCTGCACGAAGCATGTGTACTGAGTGGCTCCATCTGCTCAGTTCTCCTCCTCAGCTAATTCACTAATGCAGAAAACTGGCATTTCTTTCTTCCCAAAGGATAGCTGGAAATAGCTACGAACTGGCTGGCAAAATAGAAGCTGTCCCAAGGAGAGACGAGGCCGGTTTCATAAGATTGAACAACAGCCGAGCTAGAGCGCACGATAGCAAGGATGGCGCAACGAGGAAGGTGGATCTACATGTATCAAGCCCAATTGTTTTGGTTCGCTTCTTGTTTGCTTTGCTGATGGCTGATTGCCCACGTTGTTCTTCAGTTGTGCAAACCAGAAGCTCAAGGGCACTACTACCCACCAGTGGATATCTAACTATGGATAATGTGCGTAGCTTGTTAGTACATAGTATTTTCACCCTCCAGCCAACAGGAAAAGATCCAAAGATTGTTGCCAGTGGCTAGCTTGCTACTGGCTGCGGATGCATGTGCCATTAGCTATGTCTAGCGAGCCAATAGGACTTTGTTCTTCAGGAAAAGATCCAGAGATTGTTTGTGCCCAGAGGTTGAATGGTATTGGTGCAGAAGCTTCTCGAAGAAGGGCACTGAAGCCTGGATTCGATTCCTAAAAATCATGTCACTCATCAAGCCTCAAGCTACTAGCAAGCCTTGATGGTGTCAAAAACCAGAGCCCCACCTGTTGCTTCTTGTATTTATTTGCTTGAAAATTCTATTACTGGTACCAGTGGCAACGAGGTTTGGATATCAAAAGTGCGTGCAACAGTGTGATGATCTGTACAGTACTGTCAGAACCGGTGTTGCCACCAGGATCTTTCCTTCCAAATGTACCGGTTACCGGTAACCAGTTCACAGTCACGGATATCGAAAGATATTACTACTTGGAGGGTTGGACGAATGTTTTGTGCTTTGCAATCATCTCTCCGAGAAGAGTTGATTGCTGAGGAGAGTTCTGACTGCACTTGTTGGAGGAAGGGTGTTCGCTTCATGCAGGATTGACTGACCACTAAACCTCATGGCCATCAAGGCTGCTGGTCTTCCCCTTGGCGAAGTCGCGCTTCCAGCCGGTTTGGAGAAAGACCGTGTCAAAGAATATTATCCTCTCTTAAATCCCAAGATGGGGCAAATGGTCACAGTGGGAAGAAAGAGAAGCTCCATTGGTCATTTGGCGCTGAGTGACTGTAAAGAAGATTGTACGAATGGTCACTATTAATAGTCACTAGTCAGTACAGGCGGTCATCGATCCGTTCAGCGAACAGAAAGCGTCGCAGGCGCGGTTCTGTGACGATTGGGTCCTTCTCACAATTAATTTTTGTGCTCTGTCTGCTGCTGGTTGTAACCCGCCGGTAACTGTTGGAAGGAAGATCGGACCGTTCGACAGCTTTCTCTCGCAAAACTCATCACCCCCACGTTGATCGTACAAAAAACAAAAGCCACACCCGACAGGACCAAAGCAACCTCGTGGGAACCAACAAGCTCGGAAGCCATACTAATACCTCAATATCCAACAACATGTTCCTCAAAAGAAGTTCATCGTTTCACGGAGGCGCCAAAAACGGCCAAGCCAACGGTACTACTAGTACCACAACACCAACCACAAGTACTAGTCCTTTGCGAATGTGGCGACGAAAGCAACATCGACGATCCCAGTCGGCAGATGATGCCGACAGCAATGCGGCTGCCGTAGCCAGTGCTGTGGCGGCTCAATTCAAGGCCGAACAAGAAGAATTGTGGCGACTGAAAAGGAGAGAGATCCAATTGGGAAAGATCTTGGGAGAAGGGGGTTTCGCTCAAGTCTTTTCCGTCACCACCAAGAGAGCTCAGCTGTACCCATGGAAGCGCCAAAAATTGGCCCTCAAGCAGCTACGTCCAGAACTGTTAAAGGACAAGACGTTGTTTGCACGAGCAGCTTCATCACTGGTTCAGGAATCTCGCATCATGGCTCAACTCAAGGGACACCCTCACATCCTTCAGCTCCGAGGGGTATCTGACGAGGAAGAAGAGCCACTGCCCACCAAGCGTGGCTTTGATTCCTTCTTTTTGGTGACGGATGCACTGAGGGAAACCATGACGGATCGTCTCCTCAAATGGCAAGAAAATCCTTCATCGTCTCGCAAGGTTCTGGAGCAGCGATGGAATCATCAACTGCAATATGCACTCCAGACTGCCAAGGCGTTGGTCCACTGCCACGAGAATGGCATTATCTTCCGCGACTGCAAGGCGGACAACCTGGGCTTCAGCGATGACCACACTGTTCAGCTGTTTGACTTTGGAATGGCCCGGGAATTGCCTTGCGAAGATTTTGATGACGCTCAAACCTGCGCATCCTCCCTGGATGATGCCCACGGTGGAGAAGAATTGTTCCAAATGACAATGTGTGGCACACAGAGACACGTGGCCCCAGAAGTCTACAACCGAGGATGGTACAATTTGAAAGCTGACTCCTACAGCTTTGCCATGACGGTTTTGGAGTTGGTTACGGGCAAGAAACCATTTCCGGGCATGTCCCTCCCCGTACACAAGATCCTCGTCTTGGAAGGAGGGGGCCGTCCCAATGTGGACGCTTTCCCTGCTGGATTGCAAGCTATTCTGCGACAAGCATGGGCCCAGAATATCAGCGAACGATGGACCATGGCGCAAGTCTGTGCTGCACTCGAAACCTACATTGGCAGCGCGGACTGCAGCCGACATGATCCCACCAACGCCAGCAACAAAACAGCAGCTCCGGTGCTGCAAGACCAAGCAAGAAGCAACAACCTGGCTGCCACTCGACAACGAACCGCTTGCAAAAAATCCATGTTGGCTTCTGCAGCTTAAAAAAGACAACATCGAAACATACATACAATACACAAGGGACGCTTCAAGCAAGAACGATTATACAATACACACTAGACAGACATTGCCTGCACAACACAGACTACTAGATAAGAATACACTACTAGATATCAATTACACGGATTATTTAATTGCTAAGCTTCACATCCTCTAGCTGCGATAGGTAGCAAAACCTGCTAGCCAGATATTTATTTCAGGCACCGATGTTTGTTGGTGGCGAGGCACAGTTCTGGTAACGTACGTCATACGGTACCATTGGCATTCGGAAGGAAGTATTTGTTTGTTCTGAATTGATCATCCAATCTTGCCGTTGTCCCAGGAAGCTCACTGGGTGTTTGCCAACGGCTCTTGCCCTCCCTAGAGTCCAATCGTGGTCACACTCTTGTCCTGCCGTTACCAAGACCGACGAAAGCTCGATTTGAGTGCGAGAGATGCCAACTTGAAGCTTTCCGGTACTTGTCATGACGAGACTCCTCCCAATGGCCACGATGGACGCTGCAGCTAGCTTGTACCACCACCAATACCCGCATAGAGCCCCCGAGCCACAACACGACTTGTTGTGCGTCGAACCCCGGCAACAAAAAGAGAGCGTCCAGTCAGCACCGGTAGCTATTATAGTCGGTCCAGTTTGCTAGATACTGGTACCTTACCACTACTAGTAGATCAGAACCCCAAATCAAATCTTCCATTAGTTTGCTTACTGCGTGTCAGACTGTCAAGGTACCAGGTGGTACTGCTCGACCGAGTCACTCGTCACTCTGTGTCTGCCCCCGCAGCGGCCCTTGCTTCTACTTCCCCTCCCAAGCTTTGCAAACAAGGAAAAAACCTCCCTGACGTACGTTTCAGTCGCGACCATCCCTACTTCCACCATTGTCAGGCCGAGTGTTGCTGTTGTTGTGGTTCCTGTGTGGGGTTGCCGTTTTTGACCCATTCATGGTCTCTGCGGCAATTCGTTTCAACTGTTCCTCACTCTTGTCCTGAATTTGTTGAACATGCTCCTTCCACTTTTTAATCTCGTAGTTGCGACTAGCCACAATTTGATTCAACTTTTTCATTTCCCGGTCTACTTTGTAGGACAGTTCCACATCTAGAATGGTGGTTTGAAGAGTCCGAATGCCTGACAGGTCCTTGTTCTTGTTGAGTAGTTGAGTCAGAGCCTTTCCCAAATCCAACATTGTTTCTTTGCGTGTGTAGAGGAGCTTGATGGTTTGATCCCGTCCAAACACTTTGGCCAAATCTGCCTTGGCTTGTTGGACCACCAGAGATTGGAGGATTTGGTTATTCTTGTTGGCCTTGACACTACTTTTTGGATACATGTAGTTTCGTTGCTGATGTTGGTCTTGGTCTTTTTCATCGTTTTGATTTTGGAACTGCTGTTGTTGCTGGATAAAGGCTTTTGGATCTGTCAGCTGGTACTGCACCAGCACCGTGACAAACACCTTGTGCCCTTGTCCATCCATCACTCTAGTTCGAAACGTTGCATGTTGGCGCCTTGTGGACCATTGGCTCGGGGGGTTGGCTCCGAGGCGGTCGCGCAGATGCCAACCAGGTTGGAGCACTTGAAGGTGCATTGGATCAGCTGTAGCTGTGGAAGAGGAGTTTCTCGTTCCGCCATTGTACTTTTTGACTCCCACAGAACCAATGGGGACAGTGTCCACAAGAAAGACGCCGCCGACAAAGAAGGTGCCAGCTGCCAAGACTATAATGGCGACACCGCGATTGTTTCTTGTTGCCGAGGAACAATCTTGCATGGCTTGACGGATCCATTTCGAAAACTGAGGCTTCAAAGCAGCAACGTCTATTTTGAGCCGGTTTTCAAGACTGGGTTGTGTTGTCAATCTTGCTCGTCGAGTTGCCGCGCTGGAACAACGTCGACCAAGAAATTTTGGTTTGGCGTCATGGTGGCGAAACGCGCCTGGAAAAATCAGGCAAACTCTCTTGGTGCTGTTTATTAGATAGCCAAACAACATGGTTGTTCATGTAGAAGATGCTTACAATGCTGTTGTACGGTGGGACAAAGAAGTAGTCTAGCTAGCTAGGTACTGCCTCTGCATCTACCGGTACTTGGTGATGTACTCAGTAGAAGTTTGCGTTGCCGGCATTGCCATTGTGCCATTGTCCTGGCTGTCTTTGGATCTTTTGGCTTCCGTTTCCTCTGGATTCGATTCGGGACCGCTTAGTCACGAACCAAAAAGGCGCTCAATTCTTTTCTTCTCGGCGGACACTTTCACACCGCCAACGCAGCATCATTAACCACAGTGATTGCCGTCCTCCTTATTACCACTTGCTTGCTATCTCTACGACACTCTTCAGTGACTACTTACTTTGTCTCTTGAGGAGACTTCACTCTGTGTATTTTGCGGGGCTGCTAAACTTTGGTCGAAGCTTCTTCCAAAAATGGCAATTTCTTTGGACACAACCGGTATCCCGTGCCGTATACCCTTTCGGGATCCCTGATGACCCACGAAAGCTTCTTCTTTCTCCTTCATGGCACTCTGTCTTTGGCTAAGAGAACGATAATGACATCGTCAGTGACTTGACTTCCTTCCCTCAGTACTAGTAAGTTGCATCATAATTATCATCATGGAGTCGAGTCGAAAAGGAATGTCCGCCTTTCGCCGTCCCATGTTCCGATCCTACACTACACCAAGACCCCAGCTGCAACCCAGACTTACTTTATCCTCTGTGCTGTTGTTTACCATTGAGTCTTTCTGTGCAGAGTGTAAAAGGCTCCAAGACATTGGGAAAAAATTGGTGCAAAAAAAGCAAATACCCCCATGGTCAGCAATGGACAATGCCAAGTACTTTTAAGCATCAAAACCAGACCTTTTGTCAGAAGTAATCAGGAGATTCCGGGTTCGAATCCCGGGCAGGATTAAATCGGTCCTGTTGGCCCAACGGCAAGGCGCCTGACTACGGATTGTCTTTTGTTGCACGTCTATCGGTCGACCATAGCAAAAGTTATGGTTAGCTAACGAAGGACAACAGGTATGGGTAGCATTCTTTTCGCATTTTGGTTTGCCTTTGTTCATCTCATGCTTGTCATCTTCAGGAGATATCAGATTCAAATCGGTCCTGTTGGCCCAACGGCAAGGCGCCTGACTATGGATCGTCTTTTGTTGCATGTGGATCGGACAAGTACAACAAAAGTTATGAGTAGCTGAGAAGAACAAGCTACTATATGGGTAGCATTCTTTTTGCTTTTGATCCCCTTCAACTAATCACTTTTGGGGGGTACAGTACCTGGATGGGCTGAAGAAAGAATGGTAACTTTATTATTATTATTAGAAATGAACCAAGGAGAGTATCCTTTTGGTCCGACCATCCTCGCTTTATAATGCGCACCACCACACAATGATAAAGCTTCTTGCTTCCGGTAGCTTAGCTAGCGGATTGTATATATATATATTCATGCAAACAACTTAAAAAGTTGAAGGATTGCCCTTACTAACTAGTCACACTCACAGATATCTGCGAGCACGTCACGAACATCATCCAAGTCGTCGCATTCATCATCGCTCAGCCAGAGAAAATCCTGTTCCAGGACCTTGCAACTAACGTACTCATTCGCATCCACTTCAACGAGAGTTTCAGGAGACGATACTTCTTCCCCGGAATCGCAAAGCGTGCAATCAGCATAGTACCCTGGGCATTCGCAGTAGACACGGTAAAAGTGAGTGGTTCCTGCATCCTCAAAGTCCGTGCATTCTTGAGCCGTGAGCGCATTGGAGTACAGGTCATCGATGCCAAAGCAGGGGATCAAGTCTCCGTCGGGCATCTCGATATACTTGAAAGGAGCCTCAATCAAGGATCCCGGGCAGAGTTCACACTGCGAAGCGGTTGTAGGTGGATTCGTCGGGGGTGGTGGAGGATTTGTCACCGGTGGAGGAGGATTTGTCACCGGTGGAGGAGGATTTGTCACAGGCGGAGGATTCGTCACAGGGGGAGGGGGGGAGAAAGTGGGTGGCGGTCCAGAGGGCGGGTTTGCTTCATCCGACTTCCCAGCATCGATCGTGGATGTAACGTAGCTGAACTTCCCGAACTCATTGCGGTAGAAGTAAACAGCTGCAACCCAAGTGTATTCACCCGTGGCGCTCCACAATACGTTGTAGTCGGCATCTGTGACTGTCATCCATCCGTTGCCGTATCCACAGCTTTGTTCAATCAAATAAATGACAAGAGCAAGCGATGAGAAAGCACGATCGTGGCGAGGTCATCATCTGAGCGGTCGTGGTTGCCCGGCGAGGGACCGTTCGTTTTCCACCTACCAGATTCCATCTCCTGTTTTGGTTCAAAACGACAAAGCAGCATCAGTGCGCCGCGCTCAGCAACGAGATTCGCAAGCCAGGGCCGAGGTAAGAGCCCCCCCCCCAACCCACACACACCCACACCCACACACACACACACACACACACAACTACACACACACACAACCTACCTGCAGAATCAGTGATCTCGATCTGATACAAACCCGTCGCATTCCAAAAGTCGATGGAGTAGCTCCACAGTGCACCGGACTTTCCAAGCCCACCTGCTTTGGTCGGTTTTACTTGTCGGGCTGCGGACCTTGAAGTCGAAGAGGAACTGTCGGTGGTGAACACCTCCCAATACCAGATATCAGTCTCAATGAAAAAGTCGTCCGCACGAATGTTGAGCATCAAGTCAGCCCCACTACCTCGCAGGGGGTACGAGCCCGGCCAATAAGAATCGTCAGTCTCTGGATCAAACTTTGGAGAGAAGAGGTCCTTCGGATCCTTTGTGCTCTTCTTGTGGGGCCTTTTGAAGATGGGTAGAATTGCTTCCGTGTGCGAACTTGAACGGAGCCCGGTCAAGAGCTTGGTGGACAAACCAACGTTTGTCTCGCGGCGAAGCTGCCCGGTCACAGTCGCAGCCGAGGCAAGCGCCCAGGCCAACAAGAGGGAACGCAGACAGAGGTTCATCTTGGTGAGTTTTTTTTTTAGTTGATGCGTTTGGTTGTTTCTTTTGCTTTTCAAGTCTGGAATTGTGTTTTTGTGTGCGTTGCGGGTTGCTTTGTACCTTACCAGACCATCTCCCTGTCTTGCCTCTGGGTGAAACGTTGCTTCTCTTTCTCCCCACAGGATCCAAAAGCAAGCGAAGGCAATTGGGATCCGCAAATCGGGAAGTGGAAGCCTAGCTAGACTACTGCAGCTCGTCCTCTACAAGCCGCTAGCTACTACTAGCCACTCGGCACCGGAACTTTTAATTGGGGGCGTTGACATGTAATCAGTTATTAGAGAACGTTCACAGACTTATCTGTGGTACCGGTACAGTTCCTCGCACACAACTAGTCTATTCTACCCAAACAGTTGAGCCACCGAACACGGCTTCGGTTGTGTGGTCGGTTGCCACGAGGAGGCTTCTCAATGTTTGGAACACTATTCTCAATTTTCAGACTTGGATATTGGTACCAGAGATCAGGTAACCTGCTACCGGTATCTATCTATCTAGCTAGCTAGATTTCATGGCACCATGATGAAAAGATGAATGCATGTAGTGTTCTGATCGGCCAAGACGTACCCTTGCAAAGCGAATGGCTGGCTGCGGTCGCTTCGTCTCGTTTTCCACGATGGTCCCCCACGCTCTGAAATTGTTTTGAAAGATGTTGGTGAGGGGGGCACCCTCTGGCTTCTGGCTGGCCCTGCCATTCAATAGTGTACGCGTCTCCCCTCTTGAAAGAGCTTATCGCATTGCATGTCGGATTAGAATACGCAAGGTATGGCTTGAGATGCTTCATTTTTAAGCAACAGCTAGCTAGCCTTGGATACTTGTTTCAAAAACCTGCGGGTTCACTTGCCTGCAGGAAGCTACTACATGTAGTACTAGCTAGCTATCCAGCAATGCAGCTTTATCTTTCGTTCTGAAAGCAAAGCATATTCGCCCTGGTACAACGGAAAGTTGCTGAAGTACTATGCTCGATCGTAGCTTTGTTGACACAATTTGACAAAGATCGTGGTGAGAGTGCTGACACAGTCGACGAAGTTGTCCAGGCACGACGAAACAACTTACATGCAATGCGGACATCCAGACTAGCTCTAGCTAGGGTTGCCTCTACCGGTACAGTCGTACGCCGTACATACGGAAACTCGAAACGAGACGTGCAAGATTCCGGGAAAAGCGAGGAGAAGATTCATCATTCGTTCGCTTGGGATCGACCGCCCTCCTGCCAAAGCAAAACAAAGCAATGAGTTTGACTGTGTTGCTCTTGCTCCCAGCTCTCTTGATTTGCTTAGTCTCGGCTTCGGCTTCCGATGACTACACCATTCCTGTTGGGGTGGAGACTTGCGTAGAGACTGACCCTTCCTTTGGGCTGGTCTCTGGCTTTCAGAGTATCTGTATCACGCCGCATCGTTCTGACAAACTGACATGGACGGCCACGAGAAATGGGGAGACTTGTGAGTACAGCCGCAAGTACAACAGTGGCATCTGGTGAGTAGTTCGGAGTGGCGGTGCTAGCAAGCTAGTGTGCAAGCTCTGTGCTCTGTGGTATCTTCTACCGGCTTGTTCGATTCTTGGGGCTCGACTGATCTCTTGCTGCTCCTAACTTTTATAATCTTTTGTAGTTACGAGTACCATAACGACCATGTGGAGTCTGTCCCTGGGTACAAGCTCCGATGTCAAGGTCTGACAATCAAGGTATGTGGGAAGACTCCCGCGGACCTTACTGCGTCTGTCGTGGCCCACAAGTCAGGCAGCGCCCACAAGTCAGACAGCGACGAAGACAATCCCATTGGCGCCATCTTTGGTTTCATGTTGATTGGCTTCTTCTTGTACATCAGGTTCAGCAGGAGACCGGTTCAAGTTTTCAGGCCAATCTACAATCGGGTTCCAACTTCAGCTGCTACCGCTGGAACGGTAGAGCTTCCAGTGGCAGTCGCTGAGGTTTCAACTGAAGTTGATGATGACCACATTCCAGTGGCTACAGCAACACCAGTGCACCCAACGATGACATCAAATCAAAAGAAGCGGCCACCCACAAACATCTCATCTCACCTGTTGAAGATTGACCCTCTAATCAAAGAAATCGTACAGGAAGCAAAGCAAGGAAAGCTAGTCACCTTTATGGAAGCAATGGAAAGCTATCATGGCGAAGGCTTGTGGGACACACGTTGTCGCTACGTCAGCATTGCAGGTGACTATCTGCAGTACCCGAGCATCAAAAGTCCTACCGGTGAGGACGTGAGCGAGGACCTATTTTGGCAAAACACCTTGAGAGCACTAGCACCACAGCTGGATGATTTGGAAGCCGGCAACAACAACACAGCTAAGGCTGCACTCTATTGTCTTCGAGGGGAATCTCTGATAACGCTTGCGTGGAAACATCGAGGCTGCGGGTGGAGCCACACCGTCACATCTACGCAGCGACAAAAAATGCACCAATGCTTGGAGAAGGCCAGAACTATCCTGTTGGAAGCGGCTGCATTGGATCCGAGGGATCCAACACCGTATGCCATCTTGCAGAATGTGGCCTTGGGATTGTCTGGCAGAGCAGCTGGTCAAGAGTGGCTACAACGAGCCCTCCATCGAGACTCCTGCAATTTTCGTGCTTTGACCACTCATTCCTATCTCCTCAGCCGCAAATGGCATGGCGTGTCCGACTATGAATGCATTGACTTTGCTAGAAAGTTTGTGGCTGATCACCCACGTAAACATCCGGTTCAACTGCTTTTGATTTCGGTCTTGCACATGCAATACACTGATCCGGCATGGTCAGCAAGCCGGAAACGGCAACTGATTGAAGCTCCATGGGTCAGAGAGACAACGCTCGACATATTCCGAAATGTATACACCAACCAATCGCATCCGCCAATACATAGCTTTGTCCGCCGCGAAATGTACGACAAGATGGTCCGGTGGCTCGAATGCTGTGTCAATGCTGGAGTGCTGCCGACGCACATTCTGGGTGAAGCAAAGCGGTTACCAAACCGACCGCCGCCTGCTGCTCAACAAACCCATCAACGTCCCCTGAAACAAGTGGATACTATGACAATTCGAGAGCTAAAGATGGAATTGGAAATCTATGGGATTTCTGCACGGCAGTTCGTCGAAAAACCAGATTTGAAAGGAGCAGTAGTGGCTGCCAGGAGAGCCAGAGGACTAATAACTGAATCAGCCACCAGTACTACATCAGCTGCCGCTGTCGCATCAGCCACCGGTACTACATCATCTGCCGCAAAAGCCGCTGCCACATCTGCTGCCTTTGGTACCGTGGAGAGTGTGCCACCATCCATAAGCGAGCAGGTGCAGGCGCGAGAGCCCTGGCAACCCGGACCTGGAGAATCGTGGATGGAACCCATAGACATCGAGTGATGTCTCAATTCTAGCTTGGGTCGAGCTCAAACATGTACTAAACAAACATTGGCTCAAAAACCGGCTCGGTATACATCGTAGTTTCAAAAGCTGTGTCCGTCTTCTCCAGGTAGTTCAAGCAGTCATATACATGGACGAAAAAGCATGCATGCACCCTGCCGCGTCTTACTTGATTTCATGCGGGATTGGGACAACGAGGCAATACGTCAAATAACCCGTCATGTGCGGCAGCAAAGCTTCCATGTCTAATTCGCCGCATCTTGAAGGCATCTGGAGACAAGCATGCCCATGTGACGGTAGCAGCACTCCATTCGAACGCCGTTTCCACCAATGACATCTCGTGCGACTAAGTAGTAGTGGAAGTACCGGTAGCCCCACAAGAAGAAAAATTGCCCCGCAAACTTGAAAGTTGATGTAGTTCTAGCAGGCTTGAGCGGCTGGAAAATCGTCCCAAGCGCATTGAGGATCGGTGCCTCTGGGAGCAAAGAGTATCCAAACGAAATTTGAGTCCGTTAAGGATGCCCTTATCCAATCTTCCATACACAGTGTAGCCGAAACCCACACATACAAAGCATCTGTCATCATCGTCGAATCCATTCGCTACACCCAACAAGAGAAAGGCAATGGCAAACAGAGACGAACCAAGAACGAGGATCCAACGGATCAAACCAGGGAACGTACGGAGGAAGCGATCTGAAAGTCCACATGCCATTTTTGGTTCCTTTGGTGCGGAGCTCTTTGTAAGTTGGCTTATAAAAGAAGATTCTAGAGAGAGAGAGAGAGCATAAGATGAGTCGAGTCCATCATCATATCTGATGATATCAGTAAGCCAACCAAGCAGGTGCCGACGTCATGTCCACATTGATCAAACGAATTGTGCTATCGGCGTCCCCATCTCGACTGGTGGACGTGTTTGCCAAGGTATCCAGAATGAACTGTGTATCTCTCAACGTCTTGAGGGTGCAGAATTGATTCTTTTCCAAATCCCACCCAATGGTTCCTGGATTTTCCGGACATGCCTGACAGGCTCGAATCAATTTTCCCAACACTGCCACATCCGGATCAGGCACTAGTAGATAGCATAGTTTGGTGAGATTGACGGGAGCAATGAGATCTCGTGCTGCCCGGAGCACCTTTTGCAAGTCTGTGAATTCGGAAGTGACTCTTGTCATGTGGAGTACGTTGGGCACATTGTTGGCTTCAATGGTCAAGAACTCGAGATCGGGGAACTGATTCGCCAGCCACTGTTTGCCTCCCAAGTACAAGGGCATGGCCATGCAGGCGGGTCGATTGTTTGTTTCTTGCAAGGGTCGACGTCGATTTCTGAGTGAGTTGCTGAGCTGGACACATGTATGATAGATTGAAATGGAAAGGGGCGCAAAAGATCCCACAGAGAGCATGTCTGCGGGTGGAACCAATGTCGGTTCTTCCTCTGTTGTTGTCGACGACGGTGTGAGCTTCATAACAATTCCGTCTTGTTGTAGTTGTTGTGATGCTGATTGCTGTTCTTCTGTAGTAGTAGAATCCACAAAGACAGTCCCCGCCGTCAAGAGGTCTCCCCAAACTTCCCCAATTTGGTTGTTGTTATTGTTATTATTGTTTCGTAGCAATTTTTGATTGCGAATGGTCATGTCCATGGTAAATACAGTTTTGGCCGCCTTCCACGATTCTGCCATCAACTGGACCAGCTGACAGTCCTCTCGAATGTCGCGTCCGGATATTGGATGAGACACTCGAATGGGCAATAGAATTTGATCGGCTGCTTCCTTCAAGGGTGCATACGATCCGCCGTTGGTTGCTGTCGGTACTGGGAGTTTCCCGTGCAGCGTAAGTTCCACTATGGATTTGGCAACTTCGAGTGTCCAATCCGGTTTGGCAATGATTCGTTGTTGACATTCCTTGGTTCCGTGACGAAAAGCATTCCGGAAAAAGGCGCAGGATTCTTGTAGTTTTTCGGACTGGGATTTGGTGATGGGTAAACGTTGATGGTCCGACAAGAGCAACGTAAAGTCTACCTCTTCTTCTTTGGCGTCGGATGTCTTGTGCTGTTTGAGCTGTGGTTGTTCTTCTTCTTCTGCAGGCTCGTCGTCACCTCTCGTGCGTTTTCTGCTATCGATGATATTAGCAGGAGGTTTTGCTTCGAGAAGCGTGACAATCGTGTCTCTCAATGCTTGGAAGGTTTCCAGTTCCGATGGGTCGATTCCCAGTGCTTTCATCATGCTACTAGTGGTAGGAAACAAGACCACTTTTCGTTCGCTTTGGACCGCGTAGTCCAACAAAATGGCAGCACGCGTCTTTTCCTGGTCGAGTCTGGATAGTTTGTTGGGGGCATTTGTCCGGAGCACTCGCAGTAAATTCTGCATCTTGCAAAGGATAGTATCGTCCAACACATTCTTCATCTCCATGGGCAGTAATGCCACCAACGCTTCCACTACTTCATCCCGTTCGGAAGAATCACGATCGCTATTTTTGTCTCCGCCTTTGTCATCTTGGTTGTTATGGGATGGTGAAGACATGGTGGAGGCTGCTGGCAATTGGAAGGCAAGCATGCAACAGAATCGAGTGACAGTCGCTGAGGAGTTGCGCTTGCTTATGTTGTTGTCTTGTTGTTTCGTTTGCGAGGACCATTCCTCGTGCTTTTAGCGGGAAGATCCATGAAAGGGTTAAGGCTACCGTTCGGTACCTTCTTCAGAACAACGGTGACAGCTCCAACCTCAAACCTCCACACAGTCCTGTGACAATGTTGCACTTTGTATACTGGAGTTGGCCATGGCAGTTTTGGGTATTAATAGCTCTCCTGCCGTCGTAAACCGAAGAAAGCTGGAGTGGCTTGTCCCACTCTTGGAAGGATGCCTTTGCTTCAAGGTGGTTGCCTGTGTCCTGTCAATGTCCATCCACAATAATGAGACAGTGGATGCCATTTGTAATGTTGTCTTGTGTGTCAATTGGTGTGCTGTCGTGCTTTACGTGAGCTACCAAATCGCACATTGGCAGTACTGCCAATGGTTTGTTCAGCATCAGTGCTGGTACAAGAAGAATGGGGACGATACTACCTTCGGCATGACTACTAGTAGTAGTAGTAGACCTGTTCAAGGCATGTCTCTGCCACTATTGGAGTGGATGGACCGGGCCAATCGAATGGGAAAATTGATCATTCAAAGGATCAGGAATGTCGGGCGATGGCATGCCAGCGATCATGACAACAACAACAACAATACACGAAACACGTCGACTACTAGTGAATCTGAAGCAACCGCTCTAATGTCGGACAACAGTGTTCATCCGGTAGCAGGAGACAGAACAAGGGCTTCCATTGACTGGATCTGGAAGCAACCATCATGGATACAAAGGATTCTATCGTTTGACACAACACCAGCAACAACATCAACAGAAACTAATACGGTGGAAATGCAACCGCTCCTTCTCTCTGATCCGAATCCTATTCACATGGAACGGTTGGAAGACCCGTTGCTACTAGTAGTCGACAAGGCTGATCTAGACAGAGACAAGAATGTGTAAATGGACGGAGCGAACATCTTTTATTATTCATAATCTATCAAGTTCAAAATTGAAAGGTTCTTCTATATGGCCGGTGGCTGTTGGCTGTACGCAGTGTATCTCCAAGTGCATAATCATCAACCCCACCACCCCCATACCGGTACTGGTACTTCTATTCTGATTTCCTAGACCTCTTTTCTTGGTTTGAGAATTTGGGATCATCAAACCTGCCAGAATAAAAAAGATGGATGGAGTTGGGGGGACAAAGACGTTTGTGAGTTGGGTCAAGGCCGAGCAAAGACTCCAAAAAGGGACAACAGAACACTCACCATGTTGTATGGAAGTAATAGCCAATGAAGGAGCCCAAAAGAATACCAGCAACAATATCCGAGGGATGGTGACGGTTGTCCACTACTCGGCTGGCCGCCATGAAGCAGCCCACTATCAGTGGGGCGGAGCACAAGAAAGAAATCAGGCGATACACCAGGACCGGCCAGTTGCGTCGAGTCTGGTACCCAATTCCCAGCAGTCGAGCCGGATACTGGGGCTGGTATAGATTATTTTGAGGTGTGATGAGTCCATCCTTATTCTTGTCCACAATGACATATGCTCTTTGAATGGACTGCAGTCCAAAGGTGCGCTCCAAGTATAGCGTCAACAAAGTTAGAGAACAAAACGTATAGCTGGCGTGGCCCGAGGGGAAGGATCCAGCAAACTCAAATTCTCCCTTGTCCCCATCTGTGTTAGTACAGTACTCATACGTCTCATTGGGCTGGCAGTGTGTGTAATAGTCGGGTCTGTAGATTGACATGTAACTCTTCAATGCCCATGTCAAGAAATTCGTAACCGAAATTGTCAGCAGGTATGCACACAAGGTGCGATGAACGTCGCTCTGGGATCCGAAGGGATTGGTATTGTTGCGGACAGCAATCACAAAGCTGGACAAGAACTGCACTCCAGGACAAACAATAATGGCCAACACAGCAATCGCCCAATCAGGAATAGTGTCCCCCCTAGATTCTAAATTGTAAGAGAGATTCAGTACATACGTCCCCGTGGCCTCTACAAATTGGTATGGAATGGGTCGATCGCTAGGGTCGTTCCCCAAAAGATAGCTCAGCCCTTGCAGCGCAATACCTATAATGGCACTCAACAGCAGCTCTTTTCCATCGTGCGAGTGAAAGAGGTAATTGTAGAATTGTCTACACAGTAGTCGGCATCCCTTAGTATCGTCCCCTTCGGCAGAGTTTTCACTACTGTCCCCACTTTCTTCTGTACTAATAGTTTTGATTTCCAAGAGTTCTGGTCTCTTCCCCGGTTCTTTGTTTTCATCGTCACCCTGAGGAGAAAGGGAAATCGACGATTTACCAATCGAACCCTGGTGGCTTGTCCAAGAGGAGCTCCAAGACGCCACGGAACCAGCAGATGGAGTCATCATTTTCCAAGATCTCTTGTTTGGATTGGAAACTTGCGTGTAGTTGAGACAGAATGTATGGTGATAATAGCACTATGATAGCTATGATAATGGAAGTGATCTCCAAGTTTCAGAGCAACTTGGAAACTCGTTGCCTGGGTTGTTTTTGAAAGATGGAGCAACGAACATTTGCTTCATTCGTGGATACTTTTCCAATTAGCATCCCGCAAAAGCTAAACGGCAAAGAAACAGAACAACCGAGCACGTGTTGTGGTGTTATTTCCGATACCCAAGAACAGCAAGACAAGTCAAGTACTAGTACCGGTATGCATACATGTGTATGCATATCAGGTATGCATAGATGATAGCAGACTACCTTACCGGTACATCGTACATGTATTCCACAGTCAACATGCAATTCCGACGAAGCTCTACTAGCCGTGGCCATTACAGTGGATGACAAATCACTCAGCGCTCATTTTTGTAATGAACTACCAGTTCTGTTATGTTTTTACATGTTACCGGTAGTACCGTACCGCAACTGCTGGGCAGAGGCTATCTAGTAGTGTGTATATCTAACTTAGGTTCTAAACTCCACAAGTTTCTCACTACCGGACTACGGCGGATTCCCACCCTCAGCTCCAGGTGGTTCATTCACATAGATTCGTTGAGCTCTCAGTCGTTTCTCCGCTTGGTACAATCGATTGTCGATACTCAAGTTTTGCCGGTAGTTAACGCGCGTGTCATCCCGCTCTTGTATGAGCATGTTCAATCGCTCCTGCAGGGCCTGTCGTTCGTACTCCGATGTCCTGAAACGATTCTGCAATTGAATCAACTGGTTTTGGAGTGAGGAAACCTCTCGTTCCAACCGTTCCTGTCCGAGTATCAAGTCCTCTTCGACTCCTCGGGCGACTTGCAGTTCACGCCTCAGGGTTTTGTTGTCTTGTGCCAGAGTCTGTACCTTTTTGAGAGCTTCCATCAGCGAGAGAACTGTCCGGTCGTTGGTGTCCCATCGGCCGTCCACGTAGGGTGCCGGCAGCGGATAGTCATCATCTTCGCCGTTGATGCTACCAAAGCCATAGTCGCCAGGCGAATAACCACCATTGATTTCTGCAGGATCACCTCTGGTGAAGTCATCCTCGTCGTCCGCTGGTGGTTCCTCTGTGGTATAGTAATCATCTTCTTCCGACCTGAAACTCCTTTCATCGGGTGAATTGTAAGGGTTGGGACCATCACTGATGTCATCTTCACTACGGGGGTAGGGACTTCTGGATTCTGTATTGCCACCTCGGTTCATGGCGGGAACATCCCTAGTACTGATCATGTCAGGCCTGTTTTCGCTCTTTGGGCTGCTTCTGATGGGGCCAGGAATTCTGCTTCCGATGGGGCCAGGAATTCTGCTCCCCCCCGGACCCGATATGCGGTTTTCTTCAGCCCCACTACCCTTATTTCCGCTGTCGGAACTTCTTTCGGGATAGGAGCGGCTGCTGGTACCTGCAGCTCCACCGACTGGAGTTCTGTCGGTATCACGCTCAGTTTGTCTCGGAACAGACGTGCCCGAGAGATTGTTGCCTCCCTGATTCGATGAAGCATATCCTGAAGTACCACCGGCAGCAGGACTCATGCCTACCGCGTCCAGATCCTCTGGTCGCTCCTGGTACTGGAAATAGTCAGGATCTAGGTTGGGAACATAGGCTCTTTTGCTTCTTGTGTCCGGCGCGGGGCTTGCACTCGTAGTGAATCTCGTTTGCGGGGCTAGTTTCTTGATGTTCGGGGCATTGCCACTTCGGCCACCCAAATAACTAGGGGAATCAGGGCCATAGGCTGTTGGGTCGACTCCGTCTGGATCACCTCGTCCACCTGTCATTAGTGGCATGCTCGAATAACCATCTGGAGTTACACCATAATACGGGGAAGACGTCCCTCCTAGGCCATGTTCGCCGCTGTAACGCCTTGTGGCTCGATCACCTTGATAGGCATCTCGCTGTTGGTTGTCGTTGTAGTAAGAACCATAGTCATCATCGTAATCTTGGTTCCTCCTTCTTCGATTCCTATCATCGTTATTGTTATTGTTATTGTTGTTCCCTCGGAAAGCATTGAAGAGTCCTCCCACATCCAATTGCGTGGCAGACGGGGATGAATAATGGCTAGCACACGTCTTGACACTTGGGATGAATGAGCCAACAACGGGAGCAGCCAACACCAGAATTGCGTCCCACCGGAATCTCATGTTGGTATACCGGCAACTGCTGCCCTAAAAGAATCGAATCAAGGGATGTATTGCCTCGAACACTTCCGCGAGAGCGTGCCGCTCCAAACCAAGGATTGCAGCAACGCGGAAAGTATCAATGGAAAGCAAGCAACCGAACGATAATGGAATGCACTGCCTACTGTGCGGTAGCACCCCAAAGGGCAAAGGATTGAACTGTTGCTGTTGTTGTTCTCTAATCTCACAGCTCTTTGGAGGTAATGGAACTCTCGTTTGCTGTGCGGGGCGGGGAACGGAAGTGACGGAACACACATCACTTTTGATGCTCCTTGCGTGGTTGGTGAGGGGGTGATGTCAGAGCCCAAGTGCAACCTTTTTCTTTACCTCGTAACCCTTTTTACAACCTCGTGGATTGGGCAATTTTAAAAAGCAAAACATTTTGTTTGTGCTGCCTTGGAAGTGGCTGATGAGGCGAGGTCCTATCCATTCTCCATGTGTGTCCTCCGTGCATTCGCGAAACACATTTATTTTCGTCGATTTTTTTAGTTGTACGAATCAAGATTTCATTCCTATCCACATACAGTGGTTCGCACGTTCGCACGTTGGCACGCGAACAGGAACCACCTCGAATCCCCAACTCTAACGAAAATGGCCAACCGTGAATACCGTGTGAGTCAACCGTGAATACCGTGTGAGTACCACACGCAATAAAGAACTTCTTGGAACAACATAAAGAACTTCTTGGAACAACACTCAGTCGCCGAACTGGCAGAATAGAGTTGAAGAATTGTGACCGTGACTAGTTCGGCTGGCTCTAACGTTTTGATTGGTCCTACGCGAAATCCATTTCCACGAAAGCTGCGGTACGGCGAATTGAGAATGGGAAATCAATGGTTCGCCGTACCGCAGCTTTCGTGGAAATGGAGTGAAAGCAAGCCGATTTTAACAGTTAAATTGATTCCACGAACGAAGGGAGGAATAAAGAGGTCACAATCGCTGGTTAGGACCGCGCCTGAATGGATGCTTGATCATGCCTACCGAAGTACATGTAGCTAGCTAGCTCGCTGTACCAGTAGGATGTACTTCACTTTAGTTAGAACTGCTCATATGCTGACATTGGCGAGATTTTGACAAGGGTGCGATGAGGGGGGAATGGTTTGAATGCTGCATGATTCTGATTGAACAAATCAAGACTATGGTCCAAGAACAACATGCCCAATGAATATGGTCGTCATCGAAAGAATGGCATAGAGAACATTGCTTTTGATTGTTGCAGAAGCCACCATCAGGGATTGGATTTGGTATGACAGCAGCACAACCTTCAGTTCTACTGTACAAGTTGGATAGCTAAGGAAAAGAGTACAGTGTACATGTACAGGTAGCACCATTGATTAGAGAATAGATCAAAGGATCAAAATGATAACTGCAGGATTCGAACCTGCGCCAATTAAGACTGCGACCTGAACACAGCGCCTTAGACCACTCGGCCAAGTTACCAACGACTGATTGCCATTTACGAGGAAGAAATGGTGCTATATAACAATCAAATTATGTTTAATGACAACACCACCACCGCGGACAGTTTAGAATTGGTAAGTGCAAGGAGCCGGCTACAGTGTAGCCAGGGAGGGACGAAGGACTACCAAAGTAGTCTACAGTAGGAGCATGTTGATAGCTCGCTTCCCCCTCGGAACGTTTGACGTATGATACAAGTGTGGACGTGTGCACCAGGATCCCAGCCACAACAGCGCAGCAGAGACGGGTAAAGTAGTCAACAATCGGCCGGACTCATCTAAGTTGCAAGTTTGATATGCACGTCACCGTCACAAATGTCAACAACCCTATGTCAGCAAAGAGCGCAGATCTATAATGTTATCATGATTGGGTAAAGGTGGCTAGGGTGGTTGATTAATTAAGTGACCAAAAACGAGGCTGCCATTCCTTTGCCTCCTCGCGAGGGAGAGATAGAGAGAGAAGTATGATGCCGTTCATTGTCAAGATTGCTGAGAACTCTGCTGGGCAGCTTGAGCACGGAGTGAGTTGGCTGCTTCAAACAGCTTCTGACACGCAGCCACGGACTGAGGCGGCAAGGCCGCTTGTATTTGCTGATAAATCTGATGGAACAACGAAAAAGAAAACATGTGAGATAAAAGCAAAAAGCGCTGAAAGATAGGACCCGACCGAACTCCTTCTCACCTCCGGTTCGCGCTGAAACGCGGCTTGCAATGTGTCATTGAGGAACAACAGCTCATCCACCTTGTCTATGGGCGACGTATAGTCTTCATCCACATCTTCAGCGTCTTCGTCCCAGTCGCTACCCAACAAGAATTTTGCCATGTCATCATCCCAACTGGTAACACCTTGAAGAGCCTTTCGGTAGGCTTCGTCCACTTCGTTGGTGACATCCTCATTCTCATCAAACCCTTTATCCAAATCACCCACCACCTCAACACTGTTGCCTCCATCCGTGGCATTGGCTCCTTCCATTCCGTTGTCACCTTCGGCACCAGTTTCGCCCCGTTCGGCGTCTTCCTTCAAGGCTAGTGCTAATCGAACAACAGTGTCAATCATCTGAGGAATGGCAGGTGCCACATTTTGCGGAATATTGGCCGTCGGGAGTGCCAAAATGGCAGAGAGCCCCAGGACGGTCAGTTTCCGTGGCAACCAGCGGTCCATGTGTTCCGTGTCCTTTAACCATCGTGCCAAAACTTGTTGCGTCACGCCACGCTTCTCGAGCTCCATCAACTCCAACGCGGGGTTGTAATACAACGCCGATCCAAGAACTTGGTAAATTGATATGCGGGTCAGCGGAACCTCGGCATTAACTTGCTGTCCCAGCTTTCCAAGCGTAATCTCATTAATGTAGGGGATGTAGGCGTCAACACGACCGTGGCAGTTGTGGAGGATACTCATGAACAAGGACAGAGCATATCGCGATTCCGATTCCGACGCACGATCGTTTGTTACCGTCTTTGCCACCATGCTGACAATCAAATCAATGTAGGAAGCATTGCCTTCCGGAAGTTGAGCCGATCCGGTCAGGAAGACATCCGGATTCTTGTGGATGTAGCTTTGCAAACAAGGAACCATCATATTCAGGTAGTCATAAGCCCACTGGTCAAAGGCGTTGTAAATGAGAGGGAAGCACTGCCACAACTCAGGGGACACTTGCTCCGGAAAGTAGGTCAGGAATGTCAAAATGTCGAGGGCGCATTCCAGGTATTCAATGTACTCCCCGTCATTGCCCATGATTTTCAATACTAGGGGAATCAGCTGTGGCTCCAACGTTTTGAGGATGCTTGGTTTGTCACAAATACCTTTCAACACCGTCGCAATACACTCGAGGCATTGAGCGGCCGCCATGGCAGCATCGTCGTCATCATCGTCCTCTCCTGCAGAGCAGTACTGATGAAATGCACCACTCAACTGTCCCACTAGTGCCACAGCGTGTGGCTCAATGTGATCGCCAAACTTGTCCAACAAAACCTGCAACGCTGAAACCACCTCGTCGTTTCCAATTTCATTCATGATGCGGAAGTATTCGGTCAAAAGTTGTGGAAGCACTGGCAGGAGTGTTTCATCTGTTCCAGCTCCGTCGGCCTCAATCAAGAAGCGGAGAGCCTTACTGGCTTCGATCTGTACCGGCAATGCTGGGTCACTGAGACGCTGGAGTACGAGCGTTGTAAGGCTCCTACGGTTGGCTCCGTCGTCCGACCACGTGCACGTATGGAATTGTTGCACCATCCAACAGGCACGGAACCTCAAGAAGGCAACCGGAGAGTTAAAGTCGGGGAAGACCGACGTCACCAAGAGCCCTTCGATTTCGTTGGCATACTTTTCCTTGCTCAACAAGAACTTTGCCAGTGATCCAAAGACAAGCAATGCTCCATCTTTTTCAATGTGGTTCTTGGCCTCTGGCACTGCAGCGCTGTAACGGTGCAGATGTTCCGTCATGTGTCCCAATAGATTGGCCGTCACATCCTGTCCTCGATGCTTGACCAAATCGGTCACCAGAGTGATGGCGGACATGCGGGGATCATAAAAGTCGGCCAGTGGACTGTTTTGACGGTGAACAAACTCATGCGGGTCATTTTCAAAGATGGCCACATCATCCTGCGTCAAACACATGGTAGGGAAGCACACTTGGTACAGCAGAAACTCCAAGTGCGGTTTTAAGAGACGGTAGGTGGCTGCCAATTCCACGGCCAGGTCAACATAAGTCAAACACAAATGGACAACCCGGTCTGTACAGAACTGGCCACTAGGTCGTAGATTGAGTGTCTCGCAGACAGGTCCAAGGAATTGCGTAGCAACATTTTGAGAAAAGAACTTGGCAAATTCTTTGGCATCTTCGTCCGCATAGCTCGGGATTCCGTAGCGGGAGAAGAGACGACTCATGATTTGCACGGCCCATTTCTTGACCTTCCACCATGGCCAGGCGTTGCGTTCTTCTATGGTAGTAGGTTGGTTCAGGGGTGGTAATCCCGTGGACGCCTCTGGGAGCGGCTTTTTGAGCGCGGTCTGAAGCACTTCAAACCATGGTTGCATCGATTCCGGACTGGCCAGAGCAGGAGAAGCCCCGTTCTCTCCGTCTCCTCCTGGCAGGTAGAACTGAGTGGAAGACCAGAAAATTTTGAGGATTTGTTTGAGCATCATGGCAGCTTCTAACGAGTGCTCTTCTGGTTGAGACAAGCGCTGCGCCAAGGGCAGCAGCAAAGGGAAAGACTGTTTTACAATCTCATTGAGAGGTCCACGCTGTTCTTTGGATTTGTATTCATATCGCTTGCAGACTTTTCGGAGAGCGACCAAGGCATTGTGGACACGCAATTGGTTGGCCTGGTTGGCAGCTTGTTGAATGGTCCCAAGCAACTGAGGAATCAGATCGGGCCAGTTGTCGGGAAAATCGTGGATCAAAATGCTGTGCAAAGTCTCCGCAAAGAGATCACGGACACTTTTCTCAGGTTCGTCCAAGAGCGCTGCCACTAGTTCTCTGCGAACAATAGCCTTGTCGTCGTTGCTCAGTAAGACAGGCTTCTTTCCTTCTGAAGGCATTGGAAGGCCCGAGAAATTCATGCGCTCCGCCCAGCATTCTCGGCAAATATTCTTCAACTGAATGGCTGCTGCTTGACGCACTTCATAGCGAACCTAGAGAACGAACGAAAAAAAGGATCAGCGAGTTAGTATCATCATCCAGAGCATGGCATCGATAGAAAAGATCACACGGCACTCCAACTCCAATGGATTCTTCCACCAAGAATCAAAGGGCCAAGCCCAATTCTGTGGTAAAGCATGCTCTTGCGCGCGGCGTGCGAACCACAAACGTGCTGCCACCACGATGGACTCACCTGCTTTTCCCCTGCGACTTTCAACAACAAAGCGGTCGAACCAGGCACGTTCTTCAGGTTGCGAATGGCTTCCTCCGCTGGACCACGCTGGTTGGCATCTGGACTAAAAGATTGTTGCAGCACCACATGCAACTGTTCGACATTGTCCATGTTCACCATGGTGGCCATGGTGGCGTTGTTTGTTTGGTTTTCGAAGAGGACACGAGGTTTGTGACTCGAGGAGGATTTGAGTCGAGTCACCGTGAGATCAGAAGTGTTGGAATGGAGAACAAACTTTGGCGGTCTGTTTGCGTCATCCAAATCAGAGATTTAAAAAAGGCTTGAAAAGGGGTTCTCCCTAAATCTTCGGCACCAACAACAGCCACTCACAATTCACAATGACACCATCCACCCATCCAACCATTGCCATTGGCGCATGCTTTTCCGCCAAATGCAGGCTGGTACTAGTACTAGCTAGTACCCGGCTGCTGCCTGGCTGGCCAGATACAGTACGACTACTGTACCGATACCGCTACACTGGTCCATGCCATAGCTCTGTTCATGGAGCCTAATAAGGTATGATCAGTGTTTGCTGGTACGGTATCTGCCTTATCTGATTATCCCCTCTACTTTAGCGGAGGCAGAAACAATCGTTGAGCTGGATACAAGTACTCTAGACAGCAGACGGATGTAGTATCCTACTACTGCAAAGTGGCAAGATTGCAGCCATCGCAAGGGACCATGCCCGAGTCTAAGGATTACTGTACTTGTTTGATTGTCCCCTGCATTCCAACATCCCAGCACAGGAAACAGCCAAATTCTCTATGTGGTGTGTGCATCCATTTCTGTGGAAAAAGCGTCCTTGTCGTTACACTTTAGTGGAAGCAACGATGTGTCTTTCTCATTGTGAGAAAAGCCACGGCGTTTCATGGAGCAAATAGTAGGTCGTGGAAAGGGCCGTCCTGGACAAGGATAGCGACATCTCTTTGGATATTCTCAAACCACTGCAGCTGTTGTCTTTCCGCACTTTCATCAGTGCATCTACGCATTGCTGTCGTGAAGGCGGGACATCTTGTGTCAATAGACTCTGCCGAATTCCCGTACGGTTGAGCTTGAGGGAAAAGTCAATGGTTGGCTCCATTTCACCATTGTAGGGTAGTCGCAGGTACTTCAAGGTAAAGTTGGATTCCAATACTTCTCGAAAATAGTTGGGACAAATGATGGGCGGGTTTCCCTTGGAAAAGGATTCCAACCGTTGGCTTGAATCGTAGTAGATGAGGTCCAGACGTTCCAAACGAGGCTGGTGCTGATTGGTTGAAAGTAGAGATTGTGCCAGGGTGTCCTGAAACAGTTGGAGTGCCTGCAATCGTTGTCGGCGACAGGAACGGGTAGCAACGGTGCTTGGATCCAGAATCAACCACTCTAGGCGCAGCCTCGCAGTGACCAAGGAAGGGGTTGTTTGCAGCATTTTGGCCAAGGTACGACCCAGTTCCGGCATGGTATCCACTGTCAACTGAAAGGACAGGCTTATACTTTGCAAGGCAGCAACAGCATCCAGTGCTCTGCTAGTTGGCCCAGTGAGCATGAGACGTCGCACGTGTTGTTCTTGCAGATGGAATCCATCCAGGTGCAGTTCTTCCAAGGCTGGAGTCACGAGCGTTTGTAACACGGATGGCGATGCAAAAGTTCCGGTGGGTGACCAAGGTGGACACTGCACGACGAGACCTTTCAAGTTGGGAATTGTCGACAAGGTTTGCAGCACTGGATCCAAAATGGACCTTGATCTTGGTAGCAACTCGCAGTGTTGCCAGACAAACCGCTCGAGAGTGGCATGGTGTTTCAAGGAGTTGGCAAGCAGCGTTGTCGCTCCACTGGAAGCATCCTGTTCGGAACAAGAATATACCTGCAGGTTGCGTAGCATGAGAGACGTCAGTTTTCCCGAGGACGATGCCAGTAGCAACTGAATTGCTTCCACAGGACACCAAGCTCCCACATTCGAGTGGATAAATCCGGAGAGAGCTCTTCCAACATGGATTGTTTCCAGATGTGGCAGGCAATCAGCTACGGCAGAACAAAGTGATAACAACTGCTCGTCGCGGGCTGCTCTTCGCGGATGAGGTTGAAAGAAAGACTCTCCAATCGAAATGTGCAGAGACTGGCTCCCCCAAATTCCACTAGACCTTCTATTGGCATTCGAAGTACTATTACCAGTAGTACCCTGAAGATCCTGATCATGGTGGTTTCGCAACAAGGCGGTCACTTCGACCAGAACTTTGCTCTTGCCAACGCGAAGAAGCAACGATCGGGTTCTCTCGTGATAGTTCATTCCCTCCACAGCTGCTTTGCTTGTCAACCTTGTCATTTTTTTGTTTGGCCAAGAGAGTAACAGCTGCCATGGGTCGTTGAGTTGCATTGCATCTCTGGGTGTAGACTAATAGCTGTGTAATGGATACCGGTGTCATCGCTGTAATTCGCCGACAACAGGCAGGATCTGGAAGCAGCTGCTCTTTCACCAAAGCCTTTTCTTTGGTCGCGTAAGGATTTATTGCAAATACCGGTTGAATCTTCAATCGGGAGCTAAGACAAAGATACCGGTACATGTACCAACATGTACCGGTACTAGCTAGACTACTACCGGTAGAGTAGCTACCGTACTAGTAGTACAGTACGACTGTACTCTGGGTATTTTGCAACAAAATTTTGTATGCGAAAGTGTGAGAAAGATGTAAAAGCACAATGCGATTTATCGCTACCGGTAGCAAAGACGGCTTTGTTTTTGGGCAAGAGTCGAGTCGCTCTGGACTTCCTACATGTAGGTCTTCGGTGACCCGGATAACGCAACGCACAGGAGGCAAGCAACGCAACAACCGCCACCAATCGCCCACCGTGTTGTCTGGCGATTCTACCGGTAGGGTTCAATCTGGGCAATATGCAATGTACATCTTCGAACGTCTATGGAACGTGTTCGCTACTAGACAGCTTTCTTCTTTTTGTAATGATTCTTGGCGGCAGAATACAAAAGAGCCCCTCCTACAGCCATGGAGCTGCCGAAAGCACCCAGAGGAGTCATTTTGTTTCCAAAGACCATCATGCTGGTTGTGATGATAAAGACCCTCCTCAGAGTGCTGGCTAGAGCATGAGAAATCGGGGATATGTTGTCAAGTGCCATGAAGGAAACTAGAAGGCCGCACCACCGGGGGGGGGGGGAGCATGTTGTCAGGAAGAAGATAAGACGAAAGGTGGATGCACTCAACAGCAACGAACAAACCATCTTCAGCCATTGTGTTTGTAACGGCATGCTAGTAGTTGTTGCCCTGTGCTTACCTTCATTGTACGTGTAGTATGTCATTGCTGCCAAGTATACTTGGATCAGATAGGACGTGAATTGATGGTGTTGTCGTAGTCTCTGGAAGGAAGGGATCCATTGATTTCCTTCCAGAATCGCCACAACGGGGAACAACACTATTGTTGCCAGTATCGTCAAAATGGCATACAGATTGGCCGACGTCAAGTTCTTGCCAACTCGGTTTGTCATGGTCTTCTTGCTCACAATTCCGCGGCTGGCACTGGCAAGGTTGGACATCATGGCATACTGAAAGGACTTCCAGCTGAATGTAAGTTCCGACACGGACGCCAGAGAAACTCCTGCAATGACTGGCACCAGCGTCAAATAAACTGGAAGGGGTAGGAAAGACTTGAGAAACACGGCTGACAGCAGTGCAGAAACTGCTGGCTCCGTCGCCTTTACAATATAGGTAAATGAGACAGCACCGGCTCCCATGCTGATGACACCACCCACGTGAACCAGTGCATGCAAGAGAGCAACTGGCAAGATTCTCCTCCGAATATCCTTGTTGCTCACTTGTGGAGGTGCTCGCAGTCCACTGACCCAGACGGGAAATACATAAGTCAATCCAAGTGCCAATTGCAGAAAGGCGGCTGTCCAAGCCAACTCTGGCGCCATGTTCAAGGCTCTCTTGCTAAAGATATTGTATGCCACACTGAGAATGTACCAGAGGGAAAACAAAATGGCGGTTGCTCGGACCTTCTTTTTGTTGTAGATTTTTACTTTGCGGCGTCGCATTCGACGTGCAGGAGTTTCTTTTCGGGGTTCATTATTGTCGCTGCTTGATCCTGCCCAATTGTTGGTGATGCTGGCTTTGACTGTCCGACGGCCAGTTGTACATATAAAAAAAGGGGATCCACCCAATCGAACTTGACGAGGACGTAGAAGAACAGACGATGCCCTTCCTTGAAAGGCTTGAGCCGTCAGGAGGCAACTGCAGGCGGCTGCAAGAACTACCGCCCGATTGGTCCAACCCATCATTGTCTTTTTGATTTGGAGATTTGTTGGTTGTTGTCCACTTCATAGTGCGTACGCTTGGGGGTGTCTCTGAGGCTTTGCTTTGTTGCCTGAGGAAAGCGATCCCATGTGGTGTTCGCATCCAAAGTCATGCCCAATCAAACTGCTCGGAGTAGGAGGAGGAAGTTAAGTAGTTGTTGTTGTTGCCAAGTGTCTTGCCCCTCCCCACGTAGTCGCTGACTTCAAGACAAACTAAGTGCGTCAACAACTGTCGATGTTGTTGTTGTTGTTGGTGTAGACGTTGCTGTTGCTGTTGCTGTGGTGTTGCCTTTTTCAAATAATGGGAAGGTCTGGTGCGAGCGAAGGATTGGGAAAAAGAGCGAAAAAGAGCAGTCAGCCTATCCGTTACGTGGGATTTGAATTTGCCATCATGCATGTGTTTGTGACGCATTTGCTGACATATTCAACGTTCTTCGGACGTCTTACCTATGGGGATATCAACGTCATTCCTTTTCCCCTCTTTTATAAGTAAACATGGCTTCCGATGTCTCCCACATACCTCCCGCTCTCTCGGATGTCTTCACATGACCTGGCAGGCTCTCAAACGGGAATAGAATCCAAAGGTTAACCCTCTCCTCTTTCTTCTTCTTTTTCCCTCCCCGCGCTCTGCCTAACCCCCCATAAAGTCGCGTTGAGGGCGAAATCACTGGCAAGGCAAGGAAGCAGCCAAGGTCG